AAAGGGCTGGTATCTGTTGTGTGTAAAATTCCTGTTTGGTTGGTTTATCTAAAAACACACTTTGATGATATATTGTTATGTCTGTTTCACTCTTTTACTACTGTAAACCAGGTGGATAATATCAGCAAAGCTCTGCACAAATGTGGGTACCAAATGCGTGGTTTTGAGACTATGTATAATGGTCATACAGGGAGACGTCTCAGTGCAATGATTTTCCTTGGTCCTACATATTACCAAAGACTGAAGCATATGGTTGATGACAAGATTCATTCTCGTGGACGTGGTCCTGTGCAGATCCTCACAAGGCAACCTGCCGAGGGACGCTCACGTGATGGAGGTCTCCGATTTGGAGAGATGGAACGAGATTGCATGATAGCTCATGGAGCTGCTCACTTCCTAAAGGAGAGATTGTTTGATCAAAGTGATGCATACAGGGTCCATGTGTGTGAGCGTTGTGGATTGATAGCTATTGCAAATCTCAAGAAGAATTCTTTCGAGTGCAGGGGGTGTAAGAACAAAACGGACATTGTTCAGGTGAATGATCATTTGTCTTTTCTGCCAATATAGTCAAAGTCCAAGGTTTTTCTTTTGCTGAAAATTTTTTGGCTTTTTATTGCCCATGTAGGTTTATATCCCTTATGCTTGTAAGTTGCTCTTCCAAGAGTTAATGGCTATGGCTATAGCTCCAAGAATGCTTACAAAGGAGATGAAATCCACAAAAGACCAAAAGAAAAAGGGAGCTTGATTAACATCTTTTACACAAGCCACTATTCTTGTATCTTCAAGATCTCGAGAATATGAAACACTCATGATTTCTGAATATACCAATTTGATTTTATTATATTTTCAAGTCTGAAATTACAGGAACCTTTCAATGTTGGATTCTTCAAATTTCGTTGCAATCCTTGAGAGCTATGGTATGTATGTTGTATTTGTAACAAGAGACCCTATAGCAGCAATATTTAAAGTTTAATTCTTATACAATTTAATGAAACGAGAGAATTTATTTGACAATATATTGATTTGAGTGCATTTTTTAACTTGCCATTTTAGATTATACAAGTTCGTGCAAGTTACTCTTCATTCATTTCGTTATCTCGATGCAATCGTGGCTAAGGAGTTCAATTCTCTGTCATTTCCTCTTTATCCTTCACAGCCTATGTTGATACTGATTTAGGTAATTGTTTAGATAAACACAATACCATCTGTTCTTCATTAGTTTTGCTGTTGAATAGTGCTTTAACCTCAGTTGCTAGTGAGCTCATATGAGTTGATATTTACATTAGCTCTAAACCTATATTTCATCTAATACATAGACATTGACAGTTTCTTCATTGAAAAGATCATTCGAGTTCCTTCAAATTCAACCATCTTAAAACTAATTAACATCTGAATGATGTACTAACTAAACCAATCTACACGACTCCATTCCACATCTTATGAGCAATATATACATTCTTAACATGTATTTCATCACTCGCAGCAGTGCTGGAGCTATTCTTAAATAGTTTTTTTTTCGCATATTTCCAATAGTTTGTCCACAGTATTAAGCCATATCAGTGAGCGAGTAAAACAAATCTTCAACCCTTTTTTCTGAGTTCACTTCTTGTTACAAGTTTGATACATATTTCAAAGGGAAATTGATATAAATAAAAAGAATGATTCATCCGTTTCAAATTTGAACAATTTTTTGGACATAGAAGTATAAAAACAAAAGTATAAACAATTCTATAACTCTTCCTAATGCTCAAATTTCAGACATATTTCAAACAAAACATTATATTGTTATTTTTATGTGAATCACCAAGCCTATGTGACATGAACATGGCTTGGATATTACATGTGGTTACTGACCACCATGGCCGCTTGGGTTTTTCCTCATTGGATAGAGTGTGCAAATAAAGAACACATTTTTATCATGGCTTCGAGTCTTTTGGAACCTTCACCCAAAAAAGTTAAGCTTTTTTTTTTTTTTTATTTTTATTCGGGATAGAGGTGACTTGTTCACTTTGATTAGCAAATTGTAATCATTTTCATATCTTTATTGCTTTGCCATGTTTGTCATCCTAGATAGATAGGTTATATCACATTATGTAATGTTATTATTATGTTCTGCTTTTTTACATTCTTTTCACATGCAATTAGTTCGAGGTAGTAAGAATGTGGAACAAATTTTTATTTTACTTTTTTTCGAAAGTTCAACCTCTTAAAACCAATTTTTGATTAATTTATTACTTGAACAATATCTTCGTAATTTACCAATTCAATATTTAACTTAATTGTTCTGTAACAATTTAAACCATGCATAATTTTTTTTTTTTAAATTGAGACTTCTTGAACTTAAGGTTGAATAACACATTATATTTCTTTCTCTCTCTTTCATAAAAATATTCCTTTCTCTTTTTACCCTTCATACAAAATTCTATTAATGTGTAACTTAACATTCTCTATTCTTACTTTATACACTCTTCTGATTTATCAATTAAGGGAGGTTTGCGAAGATGAAAGAAAAAAAAATAAAGCAAAGTACAGACCTAATTCAAACTAAATTCAAGATAAACGGAAATTTATCTTATCGTAATTAAAAACATTAAACTAAAACACTTTTCGAAAAAAAAAATCAAAATTAAAAGCGTTTCTATATATATATATATATATATATATATATATATATATATATATATATATATATATATATATATATATATATATATCAGAGACTTTTAATGTTAAAATTAGAGCCTTTTGAACTTTAACATTAATATACTTTTTAGACCGTAACACATTTAAACCAAAAACGTCATAAGAAAATTGAAGTATTTTTCTTTGTGTGTGTGAATAGAAATCTAAAGACTAAATGTCAACTTCACTACTAAAAGAACATTAAATGTAAAGGGGACATGAAGAATCAATTAAAGGAGAGAAAAAAACTGAATTCAACCAAACTCATCATCATATGTTACACAAGTCATACACATATATTAAAATTATGAATTCTTTTTTATTAGTGACAATAAAGAATGAGATTTGATGAAGAAAAAAAAATGCTTGAAATAAGTAAGAAAGAAGATGAATTCAACTGTAGGAGCAGAGAACCTGGTACAGCTCCATTAACAAAGACAACCAACGCACATGGAATGAGATATTTAAATGGACTCATGTAAAAGAAGAAAACTTTTTGATGTTTAGATTTTCTACCATCTAATTTCCTTTATATCTTTTACTTGTGTAAGTAGTTCCAACATTCATTGTTTTCTCACTACAATTTTTCTGTTAACTCAACTTCTCTATGTTTCCAGGGGTACATTTATTTCTTCGTAAAGTTATTGTAAATTTTCATTAGCGTCGCACCTAAAAAACCGCAGCCACATTTGTTTTATTTCTAAATTTTATCATTTAAAATAATATATAAAAATACAAAATTTATTGTATAAAAATATTAACTTCATTGTTTATAACAAATTTGTCTTTTTAAATATATTTTTATTATTTTAATGTATTTTTTTTTATAATTTTACTTTATTTTTTATGAACTTTTTTAAAATAAACCTTTTTTTAATATAGAAATAAATTCAATATCAAAATAGTTAGCGGAATTCAGTTCCAAAAAATCAAATTTGAATGAGTTTTTGAGCATGTAGTTGAAGAAAAATGTTATAAATAGATGGTCTTATATTAGTGATTGAGTAAAAAACATTGAAAAGTTAATAACTTAAATTTATATTATAGTTATTATGGAACTTTTCTAATAGTGATGATTATATTATTATTAATTAATATATAAGAGGATAATTTTTTATAACTGATTTTCTGTACATATATTTTTTTTATATAATTTTAACCTTATTTTATAATTGTTATAGTAGTTTTTGATAATTGGTTTTATTTTTTTTATTATAATAATTACACAATGTTCATGTGTTTCATGGTAATAAAATAATAATATCTGTCTTGTTCCCCACTGGAATTAGTTTTTGAAGGAAACAAATATCTCAAGTTCCTCACTTTTTGATTGGAGTAAATTCCTAGTTTCGACTTTACTCTCTCTCTCTCTCTCTCTCTCTCTCTCTCTCTCTATTATATATATATATATATATTACTTCTTCCCAACAGGCAAATACACCAGTACTGTCTTCCTACAGAGCCAAAGCTGCTTCCTTTTTGCATCTGGGTATGTAATTTCCTCCTTGTCACCCTTTGGTTCTGCGTTTGTAACATCCATGATCTTTCTTTACCATCACCATTCAGTTCTTATGTTTTGCTTTGCAATTTCTTCCTTGAAAATTAATGGGGTTCTGGGGATGCTCTCTTTTGATCTAATTTGTACTGGGTAGATCTTATGTTTTTGCTGACTTTTGAACATTAATCTTAAAGTCAATCATTATTGAAATTCGTTGACTCTATGAAATGTCTGAAATATTTTTTTCAGTGAGATTAGTGGTGTGGTGGTCAATTTTTCCTTCTCCTCTTTTCAAGCCCTTTTGTTATCAATATTAGCATCCGTGTTACGAAAATATGCAGAAAAGCATGTAGGGGCTTCTTATTTCTGGGTCATGGACATCTCGCACTTAGTCCGAGTGTTTAGTGAATCCTGGTTTCACTGCATACTGCGGTTGATATCCTAAAAGGGTAATTTTTCTGGCACCTTTAGGGTTTTTTGTGATTCTGTCCTAAGCTCGTATTCCTGTGTGCATAACTAGATAGATTTAATGTGTTGTTTGTTTACTGTGTCACTTGGGATTTTTGCATATCTTTGTTTACACTTTTCGTAGATAAGATGTATGATATCCGTCTGATATCAGAATGTTGCATTTGAGTTAGTGGATTTGCTGCTTTTGAATTTTTTTTGTTTAAAAGTAATTTTCAATTCGACTTCATCTATCAAGTTAATTTCCCACTTGTTGTGTTTTTATTTTTGTATTAAGCTGTTTTTTCTTGGTATTTCCAGGGTTAAAGAAGCACTACTGACCAAACTTGTGTGAAGGAGTTCCTTGATTTTTATGGCACTTCAGCACTACAATTCCAGGGATTTGAAAACCATCCCAAATACTGTATCCGAGACAGAAAATTCCAATGGTTGTTTTGATTGCAACATCTGCTTTGACTTTGCACATGAACCAGTAGTGACCCTATGTGGCCACCTCTATTGTTGGTCATGTATCTACAAGTGGCTAAGTGTCCAAAGTGATTCTCTTACAACTTATGAGCACCCACAATGCCCAGTTTGCAAGGCTGTTATATCCAATAGCACAATGGTTCCACTCTATGGCCGTGGCCATTCCACAGCTGAAGGGAAAACATCTTCTTGTGATGCTTTGATACCACCAAGACCACCTGCTTCATGTGCTCAAGTTCTTTTGGGAACATCATCTCAAAGGAATCAGCGCCTTCCATATCGTAATCCTTATCAGAGACACTATTTCAGCTCTAGGTCATACCAAGAAGAGGATGATTCTTCACAAATGTTCAATTTTGGATCCCACCACCACCCTGTGACTGGGATGTTTGGGGAGATGGTTTATTCCAGAGTGTTTGGCAACCCAGAAAATTTGTATGCATACCCCAATTCTTATCAGCTGATGGGAAGTTCTACCCCTAGATTGAGAAGGCAAGAGATGCAGGCACACAAATCTTTGAACAGAATCTCAATTTTTCTCTTTTGCTGTTTCCTTCTTTGTCTTCTTGTCTTCTAAGTGAGCATTGGGATTATATTCTCTCAATATCTATTGTATACATTGTAAGCTGCAAGCTTTAAAAACTTATAGATTCATTGAGGGAAACTATCACAGGCTAAAGTACTTGCCAGTTAATATTGCACAAAACTCGGCATTGCACCTACACCTCTATTTTAAACCTACTAGATATCACCTTACACAAACTATCTATGCTGTTTATGACTAGAGTGAACATAATGAAGCTACCCTTTTATCTGTGGGCAAGTAATATCAATTTCTCTGCATATTTCCTTCAAGTTTTTGATAATTAGTAGTTTATAAGTCTCACAACAAATACACATGTATTGGATGTTCACAGGTTTGCACTTGCTATGCTTTGCCACGTCAATTGGTAGCAGATAATTTTGTTTCCTAATAATTTAATTATATACATACATTGTATGTTCACACTTCGTTACTATTATACTACTGTCGTGTTATTTCATGCATAAAAGTAAATAATTTGAGGAATAAATTAAAATTTTTTTAGCAGAGAATATATTTTCTTTTTCAACTAACAAAGTTTGAGACTGATAAATGCAACATTAGTTTGGGAGTTATATATATATAGTATCAAATTATTCTTATTCATGTTTACTTGGTATTAGTATTATAAAAATATCTATGAACAATCATGTGTGAAGAGAGAAAGAGAAAAATATATTAGTATAATAAATAATATAATATAGCATAAAAGAGAAATGGATGATAAGCATTCATGCATATTAGTTATCACAAAGAACCTAGCTCTTAAAGATTGAAAGTCATAAATCTTATTCTAGAAATGTTCTTAAAGATTGAAATTCGTAAATTGTATTCTAAATATGTTTTTCTTTAAAGAAACTATTCATTGTTGCATTTGAACATAAATTTAAAATTTGATTATGCTTGTGAGATTCTATAAAAGTTTATGATTCATAATTTATAAGTTGTGATAGTGCTTATTCAAATAGTTTACAATCTAGCATATTATTTTTATATTCTTGCCATAATATTTACACTATTAATCTATTTAAAATTTTGAAATATAAAATAATTGTTTTTTTGTTGTTGACGTAAACTTTACTTTTTAGATTTAATTTAAATGAATTACCTTAATTTTAAAATAAAATAGACCGTTTATAGTTTTCTATGATATTTTTATAATATTATATTTAAATATTAATATGAATTAAAGATAAAAAAATAAATACACTACCGATGATAACTTACAATATTTTAAAAAAAATTTATAAATAAAAATTATTTAAAAAAATAAAAATTTTATTATACATATAATTAAAAAATATTTATAAATATAATTTTAATTTTAATTTTTTTTTAAAAGATCACGTTAATATTTATTGTACGGGACTTGCACTCAAACATGCACATTGCACAAGACAAATTAGGACGTGAATTCAATTTAAACTTTTTAAATTGCATTGAAACTTACGCATACCATTGAGTTAAGTTACATAAATAAATATATATATATATATATATATATATATATATATACTAGCCACCTTTGATGATTTAAAAATTATACCAACAATTTTTATATTCATATAAAAAATTACTGCAAATATTAAAAAAATAAAAAAAACAAGTAATTAATACCACTTGCTACTTTCCTAACTTCAAGAATAACTCAAAATAGAATTTGGATTGAAAATCATGGTATAGAATACCAGAAGAACACTCAATTAAAATAAAAGAAAAGAAGAGAAGAAAAGGAAATGGATAAGATAATAAAAAATAAATAAAAATAGAATTTGATTTGAAATCCCATGTGATGTGGTCCAAAAAGTTATATTATAAAGACAAATATATTAACATTGAATGAAGATGTTTTTAGAAGAAAAGAAAAAGAAAAAAATATAAGATAAGAAATTTAATTAATACAATAAAAAGAAAAGGACTAAAAGTAGTACAAGACAGGTGTGGTATTGTTTGGAAAATATTTTTACTTTGATTTGCAGCACAGTGACTTTGTCTTTCACAGGATGTTTTCCAACCAATCCCGAGACGACATTGACATAGGTTGGTTATAAAGTTAAATAAAATACCTACGTATTCTGTCTTCAAATAGAAATAAATTTTAAATATATATAAAAAAGAAATTAAAAGTGAAATGAAATATTAGGAATAAAACATTAAATAAAGAATCTGAGAGGTGTGTGAAAAACAAAATAAAATAAGATGTAGTTGTCATGTAGCTGGGGACCATACCTTATCCAAATAATTATGTCGGTGACTCAGAAATCAGAAGATGAACAAAAACGTAGTTCACATGACACCTTATTGAATGCTGTCATGTTAGGTTACTTTGACTGCAAAATATTAATGAAATAATAATAATAAATTATTTCACTTCAACATTACTTTAATACATAGATAAATAGTCAGTCATTAATTATACGATGAATTTATTAACTTTATACTTTACCCACGTTACATACTATTTCAATACATATGTGAAGACAAATGCAAAATTTAAAATAATGATAATTTAATTTTTTTTATTTCAAATACTTTTAAAATTGTTTTTTAAATTTTATTGCTACATATTATTTTTACTTAAATTTAGTGTTGTGACTTGGTACCTTTACTAAGTAGAATTAGAGATGATCATTGATGAAGTGAATTAATCAAAAAGGATAATTTAGTTAAATGTAATCACACTTTCTTAAAATTTAAGAGTAGTCTATTACCATTTATCCAAAAGGAAACCACTAAATAAATATTTTATTGAAATAAAAAATAAATAAAAGATAATTTAGTTCAATAAAACAATTTTTACTTTTTAGACAAATAATAACTATATTTACCGAGTAATTAAAATCAGACAATTTTTTTTTGTTCTAGGGTTTAGATGTACGTAGGTTTAAGTCTACTGGGCATTTCATGATTGGGTCTAAGCCCAGCTCAAGCCAACAGCCCAAGCCTTCAAAATTGAACTTTCCCTTCGAGTATATGCCATTTGGACAAAGTTATCAGTTGGACCAAACCAAATAAACACTTAAATGCCATTACTTTTTTTTTTTTAAATAAGAAGTAATGAAAAAGTATAATAAATTTAAAATCTTTATCAAGATCTTTCCTTATTTTTAACAGAGTGGAAATATATAGTAGTTAATGTGTTAAAAAAATGAAAAATATTTATTTTTATTATGATATCATTTTATTTTTTATAATAAAAAGTCAGTCTTTGAAAAAAAAAAAAAACTACCACAATTGATTATACACTCATAATCAATTATGGAATATATATTAATTGAAAACATTCAATAAAAAAACACAGTTCATTTATCAAAATCTAATTAATTTTATAAAGCTTTGTAAGAAAGAAGTGCCTTTCATCACATACAGCTTGTTGATTCAGGTCTTAATGGCATTTAATGAGATGACAATTGCCTGGTTGATTCATGTGTCATAGAACAAAAATTTACACTCCCTGGATAATAGAGAGCTGCAACAAACGTATGGAATTCGAGTCAAGTTTTGAGCTGAATGTATTCCATGCAAAGTTCAAGAAAGTACAAGGAGAAAACTGGCAGAATATTGTTCTGCTGATACCAGAGTATACATGGAAGTAAAAGATTGAAATAAATCACATATGGACTCTACATATACATATGAAAACAGAAATGCCAAGACCGAAACTCAATTTCAACCTTGCGAGGTTATATCATTGTTTGGTAACATTCTCCATTGGACCATGTCAAAACTTCATTGATCCTCCATATCCTCCTCGCTAGGCAGCACACACTTTTGAATCCTCCATATACACCTCAAGCTCTACCCAGCTACATCCCACGACTTTCTTCACTCCATTGCCTCTCATACTCTTCCGAACTTTATTAGCATCATCCCATCGTTCAGAACTGGCATACATATTAGACAGCAAAGCAAGAGTACCAACACCAACGCTTTTCCCCTTGAGGTGTCCCCTAATCCATTCAGACATCTTCTCATTACCATGAATTTTGCATGCCTGAAGAAGAGCCCCCCAAATAGGCCATTCAGCTTCAACAGGCATGCTTCTAAGGAAAGCCTCAGCTTCCTCAAACAAACCAGCACGTCCATACATATCCACCACGCAACCATAATGCCTCATCTGTGGCACAATGCCATAAAAATCCCTCATTGCTTTGAAAAACATAACCCCTTCATTCACCAACCCTGCATGGCTGCATGCAGATAACACCCCAATAAAAGTAACATCATCAGGCTCAACCCCTTCAACCAACATGCGTGAGAATAACTCCAATGTTTTTTTCCCGTAACCGTTCATGGCAAGACCACAAATAACAGTGCCCCACGAGATAACATCCTTGTGCACAATCATACCAAAAACCCTAAACCCCATTTGCATGTCTCCGCACTTCACATACATGTTAAGCAAAGCGTTCCCAATTTTTCCATCAACCACAAAGTCGTGTCGTGAGTCAATATACGAATGCACCCACTGCCCCAAACTCAATGCTCCAATTGAGGCACACGCTGATAAAACAGTTACAATAGTTGCCTCGTTAGGTTCAGCTTCTGCACTATGCACCATTTGTTTAAACACACTAAAAGCCTCCTTGCAGTAACCACCACGCGAGTAACCCATCAACAAAGTGGTCCAAGAAATCACATCCCTCATACACATTTTATCAAACAGGTTCTTCGCATATTTCAACGACCCACTCTTCGCGTACAAGTCCAACACCGCGTTGTCAAAAACAATATTGGCGTTGGCAATCAACCTCACGCCGTAAGCGTGAACGGACTTGCCGAGTCTCAGAGCCCTGAGAGATGAACACGCGCACAATGCGCCGACTAGGGTGGCTGCGTTGGGCTTGAAATTTTTGGACTTTGAGTTCATCTTGGAAAAATGATGAAGGGCTTGGGCCTCGAAGCCCGATTTGGCAAGGCCCGATATTAGTGACGTCCATGAAACGACGTCGGGGGAGGGAATGGATCGGAAGAGGTTTGAGGCGGAGACGACGTCGTTGTGGGCGAGGTAGAAGTGGAGAAGCGAGTTCTGGATGAAGATGTCGAGGTAGTGGCCCGATTTGAGGAGACGCGCGTGGATTTCGAGAGCTTTGGAGCGCGCGTGGTGGGAGAAGCAGGCCCTTAGGGCGTGGGTGAAGGTGTAGTGGTTGTGGGATAAAGGGTGTGAGAGCATTTGGTTGTAGAGTTGAAAGAATGCATTTTGAGAATTCGTGAGGAGTGATAGTAAAGGGTTCAACAGTTGAGGGTTTGGGTTTGGGTTTGTGACGAGTTGTTGTTGTGCGCGAATTGCTATTTGACTCAGATTCTGAGCCTTCATAAGTTATGAAAACGGGTTGACCCACTTACTGTCGTAAAATTATCCAATTCGGTTACGGGCAGCTACCATATGGTATATAACTTAACCTTCGTAGTTAGTGAGGGTGTCGTATTGCTGCAGAGGTGATCATTGGATCGTTCAAGTTAAGAGGTGCATGGTTTTCTTTTCAATATTGGGTTTGTAAAATTCTTGGGCTTGGTAGAGTTTTGTAAAATTCTAGGTGCATGGAAGTTGTAGTTTATTCTTCTGGGGGTTAAAAATTTAGGGGCTTTTAAGCAGTGTTTGTAAATGTGAAACGAGGGTTTTGTGCATGCAGAGCAGGTGTTTGAAGAAATGGCTAAAAAAAAGGAAACAAAAGATGTTTTATTTTATTCTTTTTAAATTTCTAGTTTTTAATTTCAGGTGTTTGTTCTAATTTGTTTTGGCAATTGTTTGTGTCAAGGATTTGTTTGCAAAATTTGTGGCAGGGCAAGTGAGCCATAGAGCATGGGGAGAGCTTCAAGAGATAAGAGGGTGTGTGGGTGGTGATTTTTGTCTTTCTAAGTCTTCTCTTTTGGGGTGCATTCATGCTTGGCTAAATTGGTTTTCAGGATATCTATTACCGGAAAGCAAAAGAGGAAGGTTGGCGTGCTCGAAGTGCTTTTAAGCTCCTTCAGATAGATGACGAATTCAACATTTTTCAAGGTGGGTGCCTGCCTTTGCCCATGAAAGCCTGTATTTGACTGTCTGGATTTGTTGAATATTTTTTCGCCGAGGCAGTGGTTTCCTCTGTCCTGAATACTTAATAGAAAAGAGTCAGCAAATAACCCTTGCTCTCTGCATCGAGATTAATTTTTTATTTTCTGCAGGAGTGAAACGTGTTGTAGATTTATGTGCTGCCCCGGGTAGCTGGAGTCAGGTACTTGTGATGAAATCGTCACTGTCATGGCATATGGACTCTTAACAAACAAGCATACATTTAACAACAGCTATTTCTATTTCTTATTCTAGTCTATAGTTCTTAAGCTTTAGATTCTCAAACATGAAAACAATTGCATGATTTGCCTCGCTATTTAGCACCATTAAGAATGGGTACCAACCACGGTACATCTTGCACTTGGACGTAAGTTTTATATGCTTGAATCATGACACAAGATATATAAGTTTCAACCATGCATTCACAGGGATGGGAAACAGTCCAGTTCATGCATTCACCGGTCTATGTTTGATAGCCATCATAATACTTAAGTTCTTATGTGCAGGTTTTGAGTCGTAAACTATATCTCCCAGCCAAGCTTGCGCCTGATGCAAAGTAAGTTGCCTTTCTTTGAATATTTTATACCCTTGATGTTGAAGTTCTCACCTGTACATTCGTGCCAAGACTTAGTATTGAAATTAAGCTCTATCAAAATTAATGTTTCATTTTTTTTTTAGTCATTGTGTACGATTCATAACTATATTGTTATTGTTATTATAAAATGAGAATTTCTTGAAGACTAGGAAAAGAAAATTGCAAAGAGTTTGAAGGATTATGGATCCTCCTAATGTTAAAATGAAACATGAACAACGACCAAAAAAAAAAAAAGAGAGAAGAGAAAGACATTGATAAAGAAAACCTACTGCCCTGATGTGTGTTATGTGAGTGCACACTCAAATTAGTTTAAATTGGTGAGTATAGTTTGCACACCTAGGTTTTCTGATCATATTTTTTGTTAAGCTTAAATGGTTTTATTTGATTTAAAGAAGCTCAAGTTTTGGTAGCAATGAATGCTATAGGTTGGGGCACTTGGTTGGAGAATAACTCATCTTTAAGGAAGTTTTATTGGATCAACAGCTGACATGGGATAAATTTGGCATTTGGCTTCTTGATGATTTAAACCTTTGGATTTGGGAGATTCCCTTCAGATATGTTGATGGATTGAGTAGCTCCCCTTCATTGATTTCTTCTTTTTCCTTCTCTATTCTCCAAACTCTCATAATTTTCTGTCTTAAATAAATTCTCTCTTTTGTAAAAGAATGTGTCCTATTGAATCACTTATCTTAGCTCTTTGTGTCTATCATCAACATCATCAATTTCTTGCTGCATGTGCAGGGGTGAAAATCTTCCACTTATTGTAGCTATTGATTTGCAACCAATGGCTCCAATTGAAGGTGTCATTCAGGTGCAGGGTGATATAACTAATGCTCGAACAGCTGAAGTGGTATATACAACAGTCATAAATTTTTTCGTGGATATTTTATTTTATTTGGAATACATGTTGAGTAAGCTGCATATATTGGTAGAAATAGGGGTGTCAAAGTGAGCCAACCCGGCTCACACGGGTTGGCTCACCACGGGTTGAGCTGAAAATAGATGAGCTCAACCCGGCTCACTTTTTGGTGAGCCAGAAATTTTACAACCCGGCTCAACCCACCACGGGTTGGTGGGTTAGGTGGGTTGGCTCACTAACCCATATTTTTTTTTAAATAATATAAATATATATATATATATATATATATATATATATATTTCCAAACTTCGGATTTAGAAACTTTTGCTTTTTTCCTTTTTTTCTCAACATCAGTATCTTCATTATTAACTGAAATTGGCTCATTGGGTTTTTCATTAACAATAAAATCATCACCAACACAATTCACATTGACACTTCGATGCATTGTTTCAGAGCATTGTTTCGATTCCATACTTGTAAATTAATTTGAAAGAAAGAAGTCAAAAATTCATATATTAAAGAGATATACGTATAAATCAATAACAAACAACAAATAATATATAGATGCTACAGTGGAGTACGATGATGTAGTGATACGATGAAGATGAACATATGATAAGATAGTGCAGCGACAAACGTAGTGTTGCTCGATAGGGTTTGACTTGTTGTGGCGGCAGTGACAATATAAGATAGAGATGAGGCAAGATAACATTTAGGGTTATCGAAGTATTATAATTGTTTTTAAAATTTAAAATATAATTATTAATTAAGGTTAATATATATTATAATTATTTTTAAAATTTAAAATTAATGGTGGGTTGCGGGCCAACCCACCATAACCCGGCTCGAACCCGTTTAACCCGTGGGTTAAGTGAGCCGGGTTCATTTTTAGCCCATAATCGGTAGAAATAAAAAAATCCAACCCAACCCGGCTCGAACCCGTGGTGAGCCGGGTTGGCTCACGGGTTAGAACCCATATTGACACCCCTAGGTAGAAATAGAAAATATATTACTCATCTAAACTTAGCTCCTCATATTTCATCAAGAAATTGCGTCTTTCCTTGTAAAAATGTTTCCTTATAAATTTTCATACTTCATGTAAATGAAACGTGTGTATGTATTATGAGTTTCATTTCTTATATTTGTTTCTCTATCATTTGAATTTCAACTATATGTGTTGCTTGCTATTAAAGGAACACAGCCTAAAGCATATACCAGAACCATAACAATGAGAAAAGCATGGAAAGAGAAGAGAGGAAAGGAAAAACATAGAAATTTTCGTTTGTAGTGCTTAACCATTCTATAAATCATATTTTTCACTCATGTACGTGTAAAATAACAGCCATACATGATGGCCATAATTGCTGTCTGTAAAAGAACATTACCAACAAAATAAGAAAACATACTATATAAGCAAAGAAGCAAAAGTTTTACAGGGTTAACACTTGCTTTCCTTTCATTCTTTTAGCTAGTTACATTGTAGTATGCACATCTTACATGTTTTAGAGAGAATGGTAGAAATGCATAGTGTGATAATAAGGAGAGTTAAGTTCCATCTTTACAAAATCAACTCAATTTGTATGCTAGGATTCAAAACGCACTCTTGATGTTCATAACAATCCTTTTCTGCTGGAGTCTACAATTTGTTGAAACTTGAAAGAATTATAAAGAACTGGTTTATTGGAGGCTGCTTTTTCTCATCAATTAAAATAGCTTGAATGACTATTGTAAATAAGTTTGTGAACCGCTCTTCTTTCTCTTGATTTATTCAGGTCATTAGACATTTCGATGGTTGCAAGGCTGACCTGGTTGTGTGTGATGGTGCTCCTGATGGTAAATGCTCAATTTAACTTCTTAATCTCTTCATACACAATAGTTATGTTTAAAGAATTGCAATTTCACATGAAACTAATTTTATGAAAAGCTGCATATTTTTTACCTCAACTTCTATAATCGATAATTACTCTCAATCTAGGACCCATACATGCGTAGAAAATCTCTTATTTTTTTGTAGTTAAGAAAACAAGCTTTGGTTTTGCAGTTACTGGGCTTCATGACATGGATGAGTTTGTACAATCCCAACTCATACTTGCAGTAAGTATTTAATTTCTGTCCTTTTGTGGTTGTTTGTGCCTTTTATCCTTTTTCCATCTGGATAGTACATGTTCACATTATCACTATTGCAAATTGGGATGAAAATAAATAAATTTGAAGGGTATATAAAGTCAGTGATTACTCCATCTGTTCCTCTTTTCCTTATTGTGAAGCAAGTATTATTGATTCTTATTTCCAATCGATCCAGTCTCATTTCTATTAAGCATTTACGCAGGAGTTGCATGTTTTTATTTGCCTATCTTGTTGGTTTTTGTTGCATATTGATGCTTATTTGTATCCTTGCAGGGGTTGACAATTGTTACTCATATACTTAAGGAAGGAGGGAGGTTTATTGCAAAAATATTCAGAGGAAAGGACACCAGCCTTCTATATTGTCAGGTATTTGGAGTTTCCCCCGTATCATGAGAATTTAGAAAGTGAAGACTTATGCGTGTGCATAGTTGACACTAGTGCAAGTATGTTTTTGCATTCATGTTTTGCAGTCATCCAACTTTCAGTTAGCTTTTGGCAACATCTATAGAGAAGTGATAATGATAATACTTGATCTTCTCTGGGAATGGTTAAGAATGAATGAAGGCTGCAAACGTTTGAAAGCAATAGAAGTTAGATCACATCATAAAAGGTGTTGTTTTTTGTGAGAAGAAAATTCTCTGCAATGAGTTACACCAAAATTCTACAAAATATTGTACTTTGAAAGAAAAGGAACACTATTAAGTTACTTTCATGAAAAATAAAAGAAGTGCACTCACATAAGTAAATATAAATTTTGTGAATCAATTCCATCACTGAGTATTTCTTTTTGTAGCCGGCATTGAGATCCTACTCATTACTGAATCTAAAATTTTAGTTTAGTTGTGAAATTGTTGTGTAGCTCTACTTTCTTCCAAATATTCATAATGGAATTATTGGAAAGTGACAAAGGTATATCATTGTCTCTGAAAGTTACTTGGTCTTATTTTAATACTTAGTTTTTGGAAATTTAATTTCTTTCTGAAATCCTAGAATCATCATTACAACTGTGTCGCCTCTTCTTTGCAGCTAAAGTTATTCTTCCCTGTAGTGACATTTGCAAAACCAAAAAGCAGCCGTAATTCCAGCATAGGTAAGGAATTTTAGTTTCTCACTACTTTCTTGCTATATCTTGGTATGCATACTTTTCCCCTCTTCATAGTTTCTTTATGATTATGAGGATTACTGTTGTTTAGGAATCTGCAGTCATGACATCACATAGGAATGGTCACTCGTGACATTAATCAGATTTGGCAGAAGTTTCTCTATCACTCTAACTATGGCAAGAATGTGGTTGAAAATGTTAGCAAGTGGGTAATTCTATTTGGCTAGTATTTGTGCTAATTCTAGGTGTTTCACCCTCGCAGAGGCATTTGCAGTCTGTGAAAACTATTCCCCTCCTGAAGGATTCAATCCAAAAGATCTGCATCACCTTCTTGAGAAGGTTGGAAGTCCCTCGGGGGTAGATGACACAGGTATATGTACGTCATTATAGTAAATCTTATGTGAAATTATAGACTATAAAACTCACTCTCTTAAAGTTAACCCTGAATACTGCATACGTAAATAATCGTAACCTTGAGCAATATCTTGAGCTGCTTTCAGTGTATCATCATGAGTACCTATTTTTCATGGCTTTGGTCTCGAGTAATTTATGCATGTGGTTTTGCAGATTGTTGTAGTGGTTGGTTGGAAGGCCCTAATAAGGTGTATATCCCATTTCTAGCTTGTGGTGACCTGAGTGGGTATGATTCTGATCGTTCATATCCACTACCTAAAGTTGCTGGGGGAACATATCAGAGCTTGGATCCTGTGCAGCCCCCTATTGCCCCACCTTACAAGAGAGCTCTGGAGTTAAAAAAGGCCTCCAGTCAAGGATTCCGAGAACTTGAAAACCTCTCATTGGACTCTTGATAGTGCTATGTACTGTTTATTCATAGTCGTTTCGAACTTTATTTTGCGATTATATGATGTGTTTTGATTATTATTATCGTACGTGTGAACTTAAACACTTTATTTTCTCTTGTACCATCGTTGCATGCCTGGCGAGTCACTTGTTGTCACAATTTTTGAAGCGAGTACGGATTATCTAAACATGTAATTGTTCACTGATGATGTTAGAATGTAGCTTTGAATAAGTATATTTCAACAAAAACATGGCAACGGGACAAGATAAACAAGGTGTCAGTAGGAAACACTTGTTATGTCAATTCTTTTGTGGTCTTTTTCAGAGGGAACTGCAACCATTGCACTTGACCCATGCCTGTGGAAGGGACCAATCGAACTTTGCATGCTCTTGCAGTACTCATTACATTTTTAATTTATCCAACGATTGATACTTAACATGTTGCCGCTAGTCGTCATTTGTAAAATGGTTATCTATGTTCATGCTAAGCAACAATGATTAGCATGACTTGCAATGCACAAAATTTGGATATGATTCCTTGGACAGTTTAGGGTGATTTTGTAGTGCTCTGGTCAAAGGACTGTTGAAAGTTGATCGATTGGGATATTCACAGATTTCTCAGCGTATGGTTGACAGTTGCTTTCTAAGTGTGGGATAGAACAGAAGCCTAGAAAGTGAAAGCTCCTTTCTTTGAGCTGTGGGGTCTGGCGTAATTAAGTAATAAAGTGAATTGCTCTTTATACAATTTTTCTCATGCAAATAAGAGTGAGAAAAAAAAAGGAGAAATATGAGATAAGATATCATGGGAAAAAAATAAAAAGAAAAGTAAGCATTACATATCGATAGATATCTTGAGTGTTAATTCATGTTACAACCACAACATTATTTCATTTGAATATAAAAACATTTATTGAAAAATAGAAAGATAAATGTTTCGGAATATGTACTACAAATATTTTATCATCAATTATTTGAAGTTTAACTTTAACAGTCAATTATGTAAAAAAAAAAAAAAACCTTTAACAGGCAATTTACCTCGGTCTTAAAATTTTCCCTTTTTTTATTGAGTTTTTTTCTATTTGTATAAAAGAAAAATGATCTTTTGACAATCTTATTCTTTGTACACAACCTTCCCATAACTTAATTTTATTAATATAGTAATAATAAAGTTATCAATCATTATTTTATTATTATTATATTAAAGTTGTTCAATGTATATTGCATGTTGGGTCATCATTCTTAAACAATTTGTCCTTTTATTAGAGATATAAAAATACACAATCAAGTTGATCCGATGTCATAAAAGACATTGATTGACGTATATTTCAAATTTTAATGTTTAGAGAAAAACCAAGTTAAATCGAGAAGCTCATCCATTTTTGGGAAGAACCTATGATTTATTTGTGTAAGGAAAAAGAAGACAATTAGACAGTATTCAGATTCGGTTAAATAATGTCAAGGGTGAAATAAAGTTATTGGAAGGGAATACTCAATATCATGATTAAAAATAAAATATATCGATAATAATGATAAGAAATAAATGAAAACTGGTAATCACGTTAATGTTTTCCAGAAAACAGAAAAGACTACTACTGTCTGCAATTCAAACTTTGATTTGAACCAATGTTTTATGAAAATGTCTCCACTCAGATTCCATTGCAAAAGAGACAACGAAAGGATTGACCTCTATTTTTGTACTAATGAACAGGACAATTGAAATCAAGAAAGCATATCCTTTTTAATATACATACTTGATACATCTCTTGCATGCAGTAGCCTTGAAAAGACTTTCCAAACCATAATTTGCATAGAGAGACTCAACTTGGTCTCTCCCGAGAGGAAGAAGAATGTAAGAACTCAATGCAATCTTCTACAGCCTTAGCTCGATATGATGAGTCATTAGGGTCTGATAATGAACGTGACCTTACCAAAGTGGATGAAGAAACCTTTCTGGAGGATCTCCTTCCCATAGAAACAACTCTAATGGAACTTGCTACCTTTGCTCCAAGCCGTAGTAGGAATCTCACAGGTGACAATAAAGGGTCTTTGGGCATTCTTGAGAAACTCCAACTTCCAATGACCCTCTTCCTGTTTCCTAATACACTATGTTTGAAAAACATGGTTGGTTTCTCATTCACATCAGGACTGAAGCTCACTCTCTTACATTTTCTCAACATTTTGAAGAATAATGCAAGACTTCCAATTGCACAAAAAGCCAATTATTTCAAATTTTGTTTGTCTGACAGAGAGAAAGTGAAGCAGAGAGGGAGTAGCTGCTAGAGGGGACAGTGGGAAAGGTTCGCAAAGGATATATATATATATATATATATATATATAGACAAATTATTTCAAGGAAACAAGCTAGCTATAAAAAATGGAAAGAGGGTGCATTAATTAGTAAGGTTGAAGTTAAATCCTTAAGAGGGTGAATGTTTCAAGAGCATTTAAAGGCATATAGGTGCAAGAGAAATGATCATATACGTGCATGAGACATGCACACATGGGCATGTTCTGGAATCCAAATATTTATCACTAACGTGGGAGGTCTACCATTACGAAGCTAATTGTGAGGCAAAGTGTGAAGTGTGAACAGAAGCAATACTGGGATAGAATTTCTCAGAGAAAAAGGGAGTTTGGTCAAAAGACAAAGTGGTGGAGCCATGGAGACTCAAGAGGGAGACAAGAATGAAATGTTAAGGTTAATGTAAAGAGGTAGCAAAGGGAGAGAAAGAGTAGGGAAATGATGAATACTCTTCTAATCAGTGTTGCTTTTGAGTTGGTGTTGCAGGGCCTACACCTGCTTTTTGCTCCCTCTTTGTCTTCGGTTATGTTTCTAAAATCTGAAATTTAGATACCACAGCCCCCATATGTTGTGCAATGCGAGAAAGAGAGAGGAGAAGGGAATTTGAATATGGGGTTTGCGTGAAAATTGGGGAATGGCTTAATCTTCTTTTTCTTGTTCCTTTTTCTGTGTGCTACTACTGTTTATCAGGAAATTTCTTAAGAAATAAAAATGTTACTCCATTATGGCCTCACTGCACTTTTATTTCCTAGGTCATAACCATACTTTATGACTTTGTTGGATGCACTCATTCTGTCAGGGATCAATTTTTGGGTGTACTGTCTTAATACACGCCACAAAAATTTTAAAAAATGAACTAGAATTTCTGAGGAATTATTATAAATTTAACTATGAGAGGTTATTTTGTAAGGACAATTAGGAGATCACATGTCTGAACTAAACATATGCTTTAAACTTTTAGAACATTTTTTACTTTATGATTTGTTCATTTGCAATCACAGAGATGCAGTGATCTTAATAATTTTGTATATCCCTGGCTGGATTGCCGTATCAGACAAATCCCATCGCATCTAATAATTTTTAACAAAGATCCATGTAAGCCACTACTGAGTTTCTTTATTCTTTATGACATTGATTGGTATGGTTATGGATAATTCTTTTATTGTTTTCTCATTTCTTCCTAAACATATAGAATTCTTTTATTTCTTTATACAGTGAAACAGATTACTACATTATGTAGCCATTAAATATCATATTTTTCTGACATTACTAGTCCTCATCAAAAAGCTTCCTCCAAAGGTTTCTAATATTCCTTGTCCTTTCATTTTCTTTCTAGATCATAACTGCCATGTTTTTTGCAGCAAAACTGACATAAATAAACTTGTATTCAACGGCAGATTATTGAATTCAAAATCTTTTTACTGCTAAACAACTCAGAGCCAGGTTTGCAGCATTTAGCTAGGTCTGCTTTATAGGTATTTTAAGGTTTGTGTCTTTTAATGTTGAGATGCAAGCAGTATTAGTTTTTTTAACCTTTTGAGACATAATCTCCACATGTTTAATTTTTTCACATGAAACTGCAAATTGAAATGCCAGTGAGTAACAATAAATTAATAATACTCACTCATATTTCAAACATGGTATGGATCAACAAGTTCTTGGTTTGAGCTGTACCAAACTTGGTTTTCTTATAAACAAAGTTTTAAATTCGAGCTTTATTGACAAAAGAAGCGTAATTGAGAGGAGGAGAGACTACGTAAAGATGATTAGTCAATTTCTCCAACATAGTTTAGGCATTGAACAAACCGTGGAAAACTTTTTACTAATAACATGATTATATAAGGAGAGACTACATTGTCATGGTAAAAAAAACTCAACTAAGGTTATTGGTACAAGTAAACTTTATGGGATGCAGTGATTCATGTGATTTCCTTCTGTTCTATCGAGAATAAATCAGTTGCTTCACACCTTGAAATTTAAGTGAATGTACTACTAGATAAAAAACAAATATGGATGGCTAATTTAATGTGTTTCTTGGTTATATATGACATTGTGACTTATAGTAGATGATGTTAAATTTACATTCGATGTGTTGGAATGGTGATTGGTTTTGGTTGAAGGTTAACATAACTAGGTATATCCCGTGGATGCTCTTCCAATCAGCGTTGCTTTTGAGGTGGTAGTGCAGGGCCTACCCACACTTTTGCTGTCTGTTCTGAAATCTGATATTATATCCATGTCCCCATTTGGTATGTGGGAGAGAAAGTGGGGACTTCAAAATTAATGAATATGTTTGAATGTGTATTTGGCGTCAATCTTAGGGAACTGGTTCATCTTTTCCTGTGACTTTCCTACGCTACTTGTTATGCCACGATATCTTAGAAAAAAATATGGCTCCATTATGATCTTCTGGGTATATGTACGTGTTCATTCTATTAGAGTGTTGTTTTATAAAAATATATCCAAATTTTAGTTTTAGAAATGAAAGAGTGGGTAAGTTGTTCAAAATTTTTTAAACTAAGTGTTATAATATATATTGGCAAATTAGCCATGTACTTGAAGTAGTTCTTATTTTTGTGCTTTTCATTAATTCTTTTATGCAGGTGCCCTTTTCCTAAGTATCTACGGTTTAACATAGCATACTTTTTAGTTTTATGTTTTTTTCTTCTTTCTTCTTTCTCAGGTGTTCTTCTACATAATTTTTTATCAGACAATGATATAATCAAAATTTTGAGTGTGCTATATCTATGAATATTGTAAGCAATCAACTTGAACAAGTTTTCACGCAGCAATCTTCCACCAAAGAGCAAGGCATTTCTCAGAGAAGAGGTGGAGATGCAGGGAAAACTTTGGGGGGTGCAAAAAGTAAAGGTTGTATGTATGTGACTTAAAAGATAATTAGCCCAAATTGTAAGCCCATTAATAAACCTAAGGCCCTTAGCCCGCGTTTGTGACAGAGGCGATCACTGTGTTTGTATCGTCGTCACCGTTCATTCTCCAATGTTACACTGCGGTAGAAGAGAAAGAAACAGAGAAACCCTAGCGAAGCCATTGAAGAGATGATTCTTCGCAGAATCGCAGTTGCAAGCAGGTCATACTACACGAGCAGGACGAAGAAACCGAGCCTGTACTCGAAAATCAGTCCCCTCGGAAATCCCAACACCAGTGTGGTACCAGTGCTCGACGATTGGATCTACAAGGGGAACAAGGTCCGAGTCGCAGAACTTCATCGCATCATTCGCGACCTTCGCAAACGCAGTAGGTTCTCCCAAGCTCTCCAGGTCAGTTTCAATTTCGTTCATGCGTCTCTTAAATACACGAACGTAGATTAGATGGAACAATGTCATCGTCAGCATAACTTGTGCTCTTCAGTAAAATGTTTAATTTCAAAATTGTGAACCCTCGTTGATGAAAAATTTGCATAAATAATAAAGTACTTCTCAAGTTAAACACTAGTCCCCTAAAATACACGGAATCTCAATTCAACATTCTTGATTTGGTTGTGTGCTACAATTAGGGACCAAACTGACAATGTTTACATGTATAGGATAAGTTTTCATGCATATGTACCAAATTGAAAATCCGCAACACATGTAGGAACTACATTGAATGTGTAGCCTATCGGAACTGTTTTATTGTTAAAGTGTGGCTTGCAAAACCAAGTTTGTTTTGCTTTTACCTATTCTGAATGCACCGTGCTTGGAATGGCTGGTTGTTTATTTTCTTCAAGTGATTTATGTTGCCCAACGGCTGGTTGCAGGTATCTGAGTGGATGTACATGAATGGTGTGTGCATATTCTCTCCAACGGAACACGCGGTGCATTTGGATCTGGTTGGCAAGGTTCAGGGATTCTCTTCTGCAGAAAGCTATTTCGATGCCTTGAGGGATAAAGACAAAACCGATAAGACCTACGGTGCTCTCTTGAATTGCTATGTCCGCCAGCGCGAAACTGACAAGGCTCTGTCTCATTTGCAGAAAATGAAGGAGTTGGGGTTCGCTTCGTCTCCTCTAACTTACAATGACATTATGTGTCTGTATACAAACATTGGACAGCATGAGAAGGTTCCTGATGTGCTAAGTGAGATGAAAAAAAAACAAGTCTTGCCTGATAACTTTAGCTACAGGATCTGTATAAATTCTTATGGAGTGAGGTCTGATATTGGTGGAATGGAAAGAGTACTGAAAGAGATGGAGACTCAACCACACATTGTGATGGATTGGAACACTTACTCTATCGTAGCCAATTTTTATATAAAAGCTGGGCGTACAAGGGAGGCAGTGTATGCACTAAAGAAATCTGAGGAAAGGCTAAATAATAAAGATGGCCAGGGTTACAATCATCTCATCTCTCTGTATGCACGACTTGATTTGAAGAATGAGGTCATGAGAATATGGGATCTGGAGAAAAATGCTTGCAACAGGTGCATAAACAGGGATTTCACGACCTTGTTAGAATCTCTGGTAAAGCTTGGGGAGCTCAATGAAGCTGAGAAAATACTTTTGGAATGGGAATCCTCTGGCAATTGTTATGATTTCGGAATCCCTTGTATTGTAATCATTGGGTATGCACAAAAAGGTTTGCATGAGAAAGCCGAGGCCATGCTCCTAGAGTTACAAAATAAGGAAAAGGTCACTACCCCAAACTGTTGGTCGATAGTGGCAGGTGGATACATTCACAAGGGTGAGATGGAGAAAGCATTGAGGTGCTTTAGAACTGCCCTCTCTATGTACGTGGAAAATAAAGGGTGGAAGCCTAACGCAAAGGTGGTTGCAGAACTATTGCGTTGGATTGCTGATAACGGCAGTATTGAAGATGCAGAAGATTTTGTCAGATTATTAAGAAATGCCGTCCCAGTCAATAGACAAATGTATCACACCCTAATCAAGGCTTATATTCGAGGTGGTAAAGAAGTGGATGAGCTTTTAGACCACATGGAGAAAGATGGCATCGATGAAAACAAAGAAACTAAGAAAATCATTACATCATGAATTCCTAAGTTTCGAGACTTTCGAGACTTGGTTTTGCATTTCTTCTGCAGTGGAATCTTCATGGATGGTTTGTTCTCGGACCATTATACTAGGAATGAAGTATTGATTGATTTATTCTTGGAGTTTAACCAAGTCCTTGAATGTGGCAAACTGTCACCTTAATCCCCGAATTTAACTAAACTACAAAATAGTTCTTGAATGTATGTGTGAATAGTCTTTCAAGTTAGACCTTTCTGAATTTCTGAACTTGAATTTCTGAACGAACTTAGTAGTGCACACGTGACACGTTATCTAACCTGGCATCGACCTGGACCGATTTTGATGACAGATGGATAGGAACTAAAGTGACGCAGTTAGGGGCCAAATTGAAATGCCCCAAAACATGGCATTCATTGAAAAGTCACAATTTTTTCACCTTTTCTTTATGGTCATCCAAATGCACAGTCCCTACACACGAACAAAGACGCTACACAGTCCCTACACACGAACAAAGACGATTCGGTGTCCCCCCAAAACGAAACTCTGGTGGGATGTGTTATCCAGATCTTCTTGTTTGCATCCTCTGTACGTGCATTGAGAAAATTGAATCTGTCTTCCCGTACCAAATTTTGTTAGTATTAACTGTGGTAAAATGTGAGAGGATAATGCTTCTTCACGGAATTTCTAAGAAGCTCATATTTTCACCGTGAGAGAAGAAGTTGGACCCCTAAAAACTGCGGGACATGCCCATTCCAAAGTGTTCTCTTTTTGGTTTACACGTTTTGATAATTAGATAAACAATCAATAAACAACTTTTACATGGACTAGGAAAAAGAGAGAAAAATAATATAAATATTTTTATTATTATTGTAGTAATATAAAAAGTTATCAAATGATTGTTTTTAATTTTAGTGGTTTATATATCATTATTTAGTGTCTTCTAAGGGAAGAATTTGTTTAAATACGATTTGCACAAAAAGTGGCTAAATTATGGAAATTTCTTCTAGTACAAAATTGCATCCGATATAAGAAAGTAGTAACTTATGACGGAATTTTAGTTCAGTTGTTAATTTGTCCAAAGATTAAAAGTTAGGTCGTATTAAAAGCTAGCTTCGTAAAAAATCAAAAATTAATTGTAATCCTTGTGGGCGTGTAGTGTATCCCATAGGAACTGTACTTCTTTGCCAAAAAAATAAAAAATTATAATGTTTTAAGGATTATAACTTTGTTTTCCATAATGTTTTAAAGATTATAACTTTGTATCACGAGTTAATCTAATGTGAAACACACTTCAAGACAGGATGCATAAGAATTTTATGTAAGAATACAACAACCAAAACATATATTGAGAATGCAAATGCAACACACACTTATTAATCTAATGGTTGAGATTCATAAATTGTTCTTAATTGTTATGTATTTTTAAAAATAAATGAATCAAAAGATTAAAGTTCAAGAAAAAGTAATCTATCATGTTAAAAATGCCACGTTCGTTGATAATATGTTTGATCAATTGTTTACCCATTTTTAAGTAGTTGAAGTTACATTTTCGTTAAAAATAATTTTAAGAATGATTATTTTGGTTTTTTTTTAAAATTAAAAATTAATAGATCAATATGTATAAAAGATTCATTACATAATAAACATTAATGAAAATATATACGTTGAAGCTATTATGTCTTCATATTTTTTTTATAATTAATTTTTAAATTTTTTTATTTTAAATTTTTAAATATATTTAGTTTTTCATTATTTTTTTCTCATTTTTATTATTTAAATATATAAATCATAATAATTTTTGTAATAACACTAAAAAACAGTTAAAAAAATCCTATTATATAATTATAGATGTTTTTTATATTTTATTTTTCCTATTTTAAATAGATAAATTTATAATATATTATTCCATATAACTGGTTTACCGTTTATAATACAAATTTAGCATATTGAAAACAAAAAAAGATGTTTTTATATTTTATTTTTCCTATTTTAAATAGATAAATTTATCAATATATTATTCCATATAACTGGTTTACCGTTTATAATACAACAAATTTAGTATATTGAAAAAAAAAAATGTAAATGTTGTATTGAAAAAGAAGATACCAGTACATATATGACCTTTATATATCTTTTGATTGAAGAGAAAAGGTGTACCATCTGCAACAACACTTTCTAGATTTGATGCATCGTGAAGCTGGTTCACAAAACCCCAAATCTCAAATCCAATCCTGTTCTATTCAATGGCATTGAGCAAAATTATTTTATATCACTGTATTATAGGTAAGAAATTAAAAAATTTAAAACAGAACGCATCATTCACATTATCGTATAATATCAGGCATCCATACTAACAATAGCAACAACTTCGAATGTAAAGCAAAAAACGGAAAAGACATTGAAAAAAAAAAGATCAGTTTCCACCGAAGACTTTGGCAATCTTCTGAGTAGGCACCAAAGGAAGATAAGCAGACACCCTATAACCTTTCTCAGCAGAGGAAACGACAACCTCGTTGTACTTCTCCGTGCAGTATGCGGCCTTTGGCAACACGGCGTCGGCCACCTGGGGGAAGAGCGGAAGTTGGTAAAGTTTCCGCCACGCAGACACGGCGCACTGTTCCGCCGTGGGCTCGTACTTAGAGTAAACGGTCTTGGCGAAGGTGGAAACGCCGTCGCGGCGGACTTCGGATACGACGGAGCGGGCCTGGGAGGAGACCTTCTTCACGTTGGAGGGAACGTGGCGGTCCAACTCGCCGACCTTGCGATCGGCGTATTTGAGGAGCTCGACGGGGACGAGGTGGAACCTGTCATACACCGGAGCCACCACCGTCTTCACGGCCTCCTCCACGGTGTCAACGCCGGGCTTCAAAGGACCAGCGCGTTCCTTGGCATATGAGTAGAGGACGGCGCAACGCATCAGAGCTTGAAGGGTTGCGAATTGCACGAACTCAAGGTACTTGAGTTCTTGCTCTTCTTTTCTCTCATCCTGCAAAGTTCAATCAAAGTCAAACCCTAAATAAACCACACATGGAAACTGGAATCCTCTCATCCTGAAATTTCAATCAAATTCAAACCCTACATAAACAACACACAAAAATAAGAATAATATTCTCATCCTGAAAATTCAATCCAGTTTAAACCCTAAATAATATAAACAACACACGAAAAATAGAATTCTCTCATCCGGAAAATTCAATCAAAATTAAAACCACAAATAAACAACTAATGGAAAGTAGAATAATCTCGTTCCGGAAATTCATCAAAAATCTAAACCTTATATAAACAATAAACGTAAAATAGAATAGTCTCATCCCAGAAGTTCAGTGAAATTCAAAGCACAAGTTAAATCACACAAGGAAAATACAATAATAACAACCATGAGGATGAAAGATATGGAGCGAACGTACAACTTGTTGGAGTTGGGGTTCGGCAGCCATGGTGACACTCTACAAGATGCTTTTGGGGGTTTAGGTTCTCTAAGAAATTGGGAAAATAATTGGGGAAGTTGTGAATTTATAGAAGGAAGAAGGGTGGTATAGTGGGAACAGATACGAATTTAGGGTCAGTAATGGAGACAAAACGCGTTTCTTCTTAACTGCCCTGAACAATACCTTGGGTTTTTCTTGTGACGCATACCACTTCCTTAGACGTTAAGTTTCGAAACAATATACAATCTAGAATACATCTTTAGAATATAATTAATGCTTTTATTTAAATGCAAGATTAATCTAGCATGTAATTTTTTTGTATTATTATAATTTATATTGAAAGATCGATGTTTTTATAATAATTTTAAAAACTTATGTCTTCTTTAGATAATTAGAAATCTCGAAAAAATTGATATCAGGACTAGCTTAAAAATAAAAGTAAATTATTTATATAAATAAATCTGACTCTGTTTTAAACACTCGTAATATAATATTCAGTTTTATTTAAAAGAAAAATAAAAATTCCCTGTACTCTTAATAATACATAGTTGACTATATTTTATACTTCTCTTAGCACAAAATGTAAATCGACACAAATAAGTTAGGGTTTGAGATTTATAAATAATAAAAACTTGATTATAAAGGTGATTCTAATCAAAGTGGTTAGCATTCTTGATAAATATTACTTATAAAGAAATGGTAAATATTTGGTAACCAATAACAACATTTAAATGAAACCACAAAATTTTATAATCCGTGGTTTGCAAAATGCATTGGGCCGAATAATAGTTTCAAGGACAAAAATTGAAAAATCACCAAATAAGTGTTTTTATAAACTGATTTGATAAAATATAAATCATAGAAATAAAATTGGAAAGTTAAAAATCAGAAGGTTCAAAACTGAAAAATATATACCTAAACGATGTGTGCCTTGGATAATAATTAGAATATTAATAAAAAAATTAATAACTAATATGATTTAAAAAAAAATATTTTAATTATACAAATTCCACATGTGTATTTTAATAATAATGAAGTATAACTAAACTTTTACATTTTAAAATATATTATTTATGAAAATAATAATAATTTTTTTAAAATACATAAATTTATTAGATATTTCACATTATTTAAAAAAAATAATGCATAGGCATAATTATTTATATTAAATGATAAATTATAAAACAAATAAATGGTTTTGTAATATTAACGTTTAGAATTGAGTCCGAAGTTAGAGTTTAAAATATTGTTATATCTTTATTTTGATACATTATAGAGATGACAATTAAACCCGTTCACGTGAGGATCGACCCATCCACGCCCGAGTTTGACTGAGAAAACCCGAGTTGACCGGGGACGGAGCGGGTTTGAGTTTTTCCGCTTTAAAAAGTCGGGGCGGGCGGGATGGGTAATGCAATCCCCATCTCCCCCAATCCCGACTTTATATTTAAATTTAAATTTTAAAATATTAATATTCTAAAAATATTTCCTTTTTTTTAGATATAAGGTCATTTTTTTATATTTCACCAAATTTTTTTTCTTCTACCCACTTTTTAATTTTTTTTATCTTTTTTAATCTTTTATATCAATTAATTTATTACATTATTATTTCTCTTACCTTTCAGTTTTTCACATCTCCTTAATCTCTCCCATCAATTTTTTTTTCAATCTTTTCAACCAATTTGATGAACACAAAGTTATTTTTTTTTATTCTTTATCTTTTTATAAATATTTTACATAAAGTAGTAAATAATATTATTTTATTTATAATTTATATTTATTAGGTTTTATTATGTCATATTTTTTATTTTATTATTCTTATTTATCATATATTAAATTTTATCTTAATAAAATAATTGTATTTTAAAGGATTAAAGGAATTGATAATTTAAATTTTTATTACTTCGAACTAATTGAATAAAAATTAACTTATTAAATATTTCCTTATAAATAATATATTTCATATTTCTAAATGACAACTTAAAAATGAATTAACTTATATATATAATCAAATGTTTGAATACAGTATTATAATAATAGTATTATAAATATTCAAATATTTGAATACAATGTTATAATAATAATAATATTATAAATAAAAAATGATTAAATATTTTTTTACATACACATTTTAATATAAATATAATAAATCAAAATATATATTTAATTATTAATAATTATAAATATTTATTTATATATAAAAAATAGATAGTAAAATTAATTCATTATAAATATAATTATCTTTTCAAAAATAATATAAATAGAAAACGGGACGGAAACCGAAACTCAGCGAGGACGGGAATGAGAACTTAATTTTAACTCCGACGAAGAATCGGAAGCGGGGACAAGATGGTTAAAAAAGTCGGGAGTGGAAGGCAAAACCTGCCCCCACCCCGTTGCCATGCCAACGTATAAATGAAAAGTAGTTGGAACAATTTTTTTTTAATTCAACATAGTTTTTTTTTTTAATTCAACATAGTGATAATAAGATATTTTACTGCTGTGTATTTCGTTGGAGTTCGTTCCAAAAATTTTTGTTCCAGTAGTATTATAATTTAAAAAAAAGATCAAAATTTATTTTTGAAATGAGAAGGTAATAAAATAATTAATTATTTGTTGTGCCGAATCATTAATTGAATATAAAAATCACACCTATATTACTCTTAGTGTGAGACTCACAAAATTTTAGTACTATCATGAAAATGCAATCAATATTAAAAAAAAAAAGCATCAAATCCACAAAATTTTGTTTAAATAGAGACCCTAATGTCAAGATTCCCGACCAATGGATTAAACATGTGGCAATCTATGTTTTGACAAAACTCAAACTCTTCCGCTCTATGTTAGCCAAGGGGATCAGTATTGCATCATTAGTTTGTCCTTCAACCCATGCTATAGATTCCTGCTCTAATAGGTTTAACACCCGTAGTCTTCTGCGACACCCTTTAGGGTTATCTTTATCATTTGCATCAATCATAACCTTTAGGTGCTTGAATGCTGACACAGATAAGGAAATATTGAAATTACCATAGAAAGAAAGGGATGAAAATTTAAAAGAATTATACTCATCAGCATTACGATGTCTTAGCTTACATGGAATGCCAGAAAGAGAAGAAAGATGACACTTCAGTAGACTTATAGCCACGTTTGAACAATGGTCACGCAAGTCAAGAACCATTTCTTCTGCTTCATCATTGCTACCAACAAATATAATAAATAAATATTGTACTACATAACATACAAATTTTCAATACCGACCTACTTAACAAAGTATTACAAATGAAGCAATGCAAATTTAAGAGCAGAAGAGATTAACCTGGTTTCAAGAATAATTTTGTTAGATTCTTCATCAGCATCGTGAGCCTTGCTCAAAAAAAACTGCCCCTGCCATCACCGTAGCATGCACCAATGAATGACCAAACTTGGCAGTAACTTAATATACTATAACTATTGGTTTCCATGATCATACACAATAAGACAGTTGGAAACATGATATTTCGACATAAAGCAAATATATTAAATTTTCTCATTTAAAAAATGTACTTCTGAAGTAATGGCAACCAATCCTAAAGGTCTAAAGAGCCTCCTTATCAGTGTTAGTTTAAAAAGAACAACTGAATGCAAGCAGTAGTATATATAGATGAAACGGATATTTAGAAGTCGTGAAAGAACCCTGCCTGTTCTAACAGTCTTTCTGCTTTGATTTGATCCCCCTTTGCAAATGCATCTACTGCCTGATGTAACAAGTTACTATCAGAAAAACCCCGCAACAGGTTAATCTACCCAGTAACTATCTCTAATGATCAAATGTTGGAAAATATAACCCAAACAGAAAATGCAACTTACTGCTTTATAATATTCATTCATTGCCACTCGGTACTCCTTTACAGCTCTACGTACATTCTTGTACTCTTCCTCGTCCTTTGGATCTATCATATACACAACACTCAATCATCATATAAATTAGACCTCAACTTCAAAACAATATAAAATATAATATCTTTATATATTATGCAACAAGAAATAAGAGAAATAAATGGTCAACGGCTTCTGATTCTTGGAATGTATCACATATTCTTCCAACATTCCAATACTTGACCTTCGGTGAGAGGGCATATAAATCAACTAATTGCAAGGTAATATAAAATACATTTTCTGAAAACAAAAAAATCTATGCTCTTCTTGTACAAGATATACCTTGTGATAAAATATATATATATATATATATATATATATATATATATATATATATATATATATATCTGCTTTTGTATTAGTAGTGTAGCTAAATAAATGAACTTATAACAATTGAAAGAGCAAAGGAATCCAGTTTTCCATAATAACATGAAGTACCGTCTACATCTTTTGGTTGTGAGAAGTCCATGTCAATGTTGAGTTCTTCCGGGGAGTCTTTGGGAGGTTCAAATACTACATGCCGGAATCGTGATTTCATATTCAAATCCTTCACAATTCTTTTAGGAGCCTCCTCCTCAGAATGCCCATGATAACTAAACAAAGAAGACAATACTTCTTTCTGAAGGTCATGTTTTTGTTTATGTTGTTGAGCTAATTCCGTTCCTTTAGTTGGAGCTATGTTTCCATCACTATATTCCAAAGAAAATAGAAATTATGGCCCAAAAGTATCGTGAAAATGAATTCATTATGCTGTTGGAGCATGACTTAAATTGAAACAAAAAATTAAGTAGAACTCCCTTATCCAGTGATTTTTAGAGGTAAATAGGATAATGAAAAGTACCAGATATTAAAGGACAAAAAAAAATAAAATACCCTCTGTGATAATTTAAATCCGGAGACTTTCTTTCAGATGAAGCCACTTTAGATTTAGGTTTCATATCTGTAAACTGTAAAAGTACAGTTAGCTTCAATAGGAATCTAAGAATCAAGATGATCATCAGAACTCTAAACTACACATCAAGATATAATTTTCTGAACAAAAGGAGAAAGTCAACAGCTAAGAGAACACAAAACCATCACCAATAAAGCATAACACGAAGCCAATTCTTTGGTAATAAACAAGTACAAGAATAAAACAACCTAAAATAGACATAGCCAACACACAATGAAAGAATTGTCAGAAAAAAAGAGCACAAAAATGTCTTTTTCACAAAACATTATGCACTCCTTTCATTAAATTTTGGTTACAGAGACAGTTAATGTAAAACTACAGACATCATTCAAGAGTAAGGCTGGCATGTGGCAAAAAACCATCACAACAGGAGGTAACCTCTCCTGAGATGGATTTAATACAAAATCCACAGCCCATTACAAGGGAATTTCAAAATTTACAAATTACAATATCTACAACCAAACATAATGAAAGTAGCATATGTAATCCAGACTGAGCTTATAACATAATAAATAAGCTTGGCATGTGTACTTACTCTACCCGCTGAACCACCATCAACAGCTGCCCTTTTGCCCGAAGCAATATTTGATTGATCTAGTAGTTTCGCCAAGCTCTGGATGATTGCAATAAATATTTATTAGGCACAGGTAACAAGCGAGACTAGAAAACACAGGATCTGGGTAGTCTGAACAGAAAAAACATGATTATAATAATCTCCATGTCAGTTTAACTTGTATACCAGAAAAAAAATTACATCCTTCTCAAATTTACATTGTTTAAACGCTACATGAGATTTTGGATGGAGAAAAGTGGAAAAGGAAAGAAACAAAGCAATATCAACAATGGCAGAATAAGAAAATTTTATGTACCTTCTGCATATCATACCCACAAGTATCTGCATAGTTGCAACCAAATCAATCAGTTTTTAATAACCAAAGCAATAATAGCAATAGTAATATATAGTTCAGCCCATACATGTGTTAATGGGACTTACAAAAATAAAAATAAAACATTCAAACAAATCTGGTATGGGATAATAGATAACTTGAATAAAAGTGAGGTTAGGAAGTAACAAAATTTTGAGTTTTCTACAATGAAATGAAATTATCAGCAGTACAAAAGACCGAAAATGCCATATAAATTTTAGAAAAAAGGAGGTTGTAAATAAAAGGTATCAAGGAATTCTCAAAAAACGAGAAAAAAAAAAACAGGTTCAGAAAATTCCATACCAAGAACTTGCCGTATCATATTTCTGTCAAGCTGAAAGCCATCACCCAGCATTTTAAATAAGAAATCTTCCATGTCCTGGTGAAGTTGATTATGTTTCAAACACGAAACATCTGGCTTTTTTTTTTCACGCCAGATTCCGGTAATTGGCAGCGACTTTGCATCCAACTTAGTTGGTTTCGTCATCCCAAAAGACCCACTTGCTGATGGGGCAGGCCTAACATAATCCTTGGCAATAATGCTTGAAACAGTACCAGCCGAAACCGGGCGAACTTTGGGTCTTGAAGTTCTCCTTTCTTGGAATGAATTCTCAAGGGAATACCCATCTGATGATTCAGAAGACCCTCCAGTCCTGACATCTGCATTGGATGAATCAAGGGTTGAAGATGATCCTAAGGAGCTTCCCTGCATTTCAAACAAAATTTCCCCAGCCAAGTCAGCATTCCTGCTAGCCTTGCAATACGCAGAAGCTATCTCTTCAAGAGAAAACACAGAGCCAAATGCATCAAGCAAGCACTTCAATGCTTTCTCTTCATCGCATTTGACAATATTCTGCGCAGAAACTTCCATCCCAATACAATAACCTATCACAGAAAATCAAAGACACGCATAAACATAAAATTGATCAATTATTCTAAAATTGAATGCCATAGGGGAATGGAAAAAATGATCATTCATTCACATCCCTTGATAAAACATAAAATCAAAACTTGTCTGGTAGAGAGAATGCACCTGCGTATACACTGAGAAAAAGTGAAAGCTGTGCCCGAAATCGAATAAACAAGAACTGAAAGGACAAATAAATAAATTAAAAGAGGCTCTGGTTAGCAATGGGGGATGAATGTGTGGAGCACTCAAATCAGCATAGAAAATCTCAGTGTGATTTCGTATTGGCAAAGAAAAATGATTTCACAATCATAATCATGGGATTCCTATTCGTATATACAGTTATTCATTTACAGAAAAGAATTGTAAAATAAGAAAAACAAAAATTAGAAAAGAAAGCGGAAGAAAATAGATATGAGGGAAGAGAAAAGAATGAAGTTAGTATGAGGTTTTGTCACGTAAATTGCGAGAATCAGTGGCGAATCAAAGAAAAGAATAAGAAATCGGAGTGAGTGAGTAAAACTCAGAAAGAAATGCATACCTGGGCGATTCTGGGCGAGGTGAGAGAAATGAGAAAAACAAGTGAATTTATAAGAAGCGCCCAACACAGAGTGTGCTATAATATCTACCTCTCTATCTACTGATAGATACAACTATTCATAGTATTATGCATACACTCTTTATATGAATAAAGAGATATATATTTTTATTTATTTTATGTTATTTTTATATTAAGTTATTTCAAACTTATTTAAAAATTATTATATATTTTTACACAAAAACCAATTTATTCAAATTTCATATTTTTCTGGTCATATCATGTTTTTTTTACATCACCCTTTCATTATTGATTATAGAAATACACACTAAGAATGATATTAATGATAATAATAATTAGTCAATAAAAAGTCAAAATACTAACGTTTGTTTGATAAATATATATATATATATATATATATATATATATATATATATATATATATATATATATATATATATATCATAACTCTTACCACTTTTGTTATGACCTGAGAATCTATTCTAACAAAATAAATTATATTATCTTCAAATTTATTTTATATTTATCCTTTTTAAATTTTATTAGTTGATTACAAATTTTACATTTCTTACATTTTCACCAGATTTTCTCGATTTCACAGCATGTATTTTTTATAAGAATGGCACTAGGGTGCATTTATTTATTTATTGTTAACATAAAAAGTTTATATTAACAATCAATAAAAAAATATTAGATCAATTGTTATAAAGTTAATAATATTTTTTATTAAAATATTCTTTTAACTTTGTTTTCAATTATGTGTTCACTGAAAACTTCCTCGACAAGTTTGTGTCCGCATCAAACAACTTGGCAAAGAAGTTTCTTTTGTTCACACGCCTTTATAATAATTTTATTTTACCACTAATGTTTAACTTAATACGTTACTTTTAGCTTATGATTATTTAAAAAAATTGTAACAAACACATAAATATAATCTATTATTTGATAAAAAAACTTAAACAAATATAACTAATATCAATCAAGATATATAGAGATAACATTAATTTAAATCTAATGTCATGTCAACTACATTTTATACTTCAGATGTTTGGACTCACTCTAACTCTTTAAAGGCTTTTCAATTTGTTAAGTCTAAAGAAATTTTAGACCACAATTTTAATATTTAACAAACAAATGTATTATTGTAGGAAGCAAACGAATTAATCATACATTATTTTTAATTGTTGAAAGCATCGATATACCCAATACATTATCTAATATATTTTCAAATAATAATATTCAAGAATTTTACCTGAATAAGAATTAATCTTTATAAAAGGTAGCACTTACTAACAACGTGAAAAATGAAAAAAAAAAAAACTGGTATCCATTATAACAAGACATATATATAATATCTTTTAATGCAAACATTAAAAAAAAGAATATAGATAACTTAAAAAAAATTGAATCATATAAAATAAATCATTCTAATGAACACACAAAAAAAAAACTTGTAGAAGGGAAGTGAATGGGATTATCAAGAAAATTAAAAGTTAAAGGGAAAAGTAATCAGTTTAAAATAAACTATGTGAACATTCAAAGGAAAAAAGAGAGAGTAAGTGATAAAATAATTAAAATAAATAAAAAGAAGACTAAGTAAATAGGCATCAAATTGATGAATCAGGTGAAAAATATATCATTCAAATGAATAGAAAATTTGGTAGTAAAATAGTTTAAATATAAATAAAAATAAGAAAAAAAATCACACAGACAAAAAAAAAGCTAGAAAAAAACTTTAATCAATTCAATATCTATTAATAAAAAAATAAATTAATTCTCTCAATTTCTAAAACCACACCAATATCACTTTTCAATTAATTACTAGTAAAATTATTAATAATAATTATTAAGGATTTTGATTTGTTTATGATATAACTTATAATAACACAAAATTGTTAATAAATAACTATTAATGATTTTAATTTACATATAATATAATTTATAATAACATGTAATTGATAAACTATAAAACTAATCACGTTAATTTCAACTTAATTATATTAAAAAAATTTATTTTTACATTTTTTTAATTAATGATTTGATTAAAATTTAAAAGAGTTATATTAGTATAATTATTTTTCTATAACAAATCTTATTTTCTCCTTTTTATATTATTTTTAGTTATGACAGTTTATTTCCTTTTGATTATAAGGGGTTATATATATACAAAGCTTGTACTTTTGTTTAGTATGAGAAATTCTTAATAAAAACAAATGAATCTCATCATACGTATATGATTATAGTAAGAAAGATAGTATAAGATGTTATTTCTTGATTTCTTTCTCCATGACATTCAAACCCTATACTGACTTTCATATTAATCCCTCAAATCCCTTTTTTCTTTCTTCCAATGAAAATCATACTCTCATTCTTATCTCTATCTTGTTGGATGACAAGAATTATCACGCTTGGCCCCATGCCATGGTGCTCAAATCCAAGAATAAGCTGAAATTCGTCAATGACACTCTCTCCGAACCACCATCAACCAACCCTCTTCAAGAATCTTGGGATCGTTGCAACATAATGATTATTTCTTGGATCAAACGATCAGTGCATGAAACCATTCTTAAATCCATTATCTGGATCGAACATGCTTTCGACATTTGTATCATCGCTTTCATCAGGGAGATATTCCGTATTACGTATTTACACGAAAATTTATACAAATTACACCAAGATACTCTCTCTACAACTGAATTTCATTTTACACAGAGTTACGTACCTTTTGGGAGGAAATTGATAGTTTTCGTCCCTTTGTTAAATTGTACATGTACTATCAAATGTTCTTGTAATGCTTTTTATTCTGCCTGCGACGCTATAAGCAGCAAAATTATGTCATTCGATTTCTGAAAGGCCTCAATGATCAGTATGTCTCCGTACGATCTCAGATTATGTTAATCGATCATCTTCTCGATATTACCAAAGTTTTTAACATGGTTATCTAGCAAGAACATCAATTACATTCTGTTTTTAGTTCTTCTAAAATTGTTCTTGATTCACAAGACCTAGTTGTTACTGCTTCTCTGAATTTGCAGTCCAAGAATGATGATGTTTCTTCGAATCCTTTCTATAGAGGACGAGACAGAGGTCATTCCTTTCACACACTGAATACGTGTTATTTCAAACATGGTTTTCTACTAGGATATAAAAATGGCATGACCAAATATGTCGCCTCTGGTGGTTTTCCATCTGACCCTATTACTATAAACGTCTTCAACCTTTATGAGATCTCACGGCCAATGCCTAAATTTACTAGAGAGCAGTATCATGACATTCTAACTCTTTTGCAATAATCCAAATCTTCTGCGCATACAACAACTTTGGTGTTCACTCTTTCGATTAATTCTTCTCCCATGCTTCTTATAACTCTTTTTGTTATATCAGGTAAAATATCCCCTCAGTGGCTTCTGGATACAGGTGTTACTGATCATATCACTTTTGATTTTCACAGTTTTGTTACTCATAAATCTATTTTACCTATTTTCATTACATTGTCAAATGTTGTCTAAGTTTCCATTTCTATATGTAGCACTGTTATGTTGTCAAATTCTTTAATTCTTCATGATGTTCTTTTTGTTCCTAATTTTCATGTAAATCTAGTTTTTGTTTAAAAATTGATCCAAAGTTTGTATTGTCATCTCCTTTTTTAATTTAATTATTGTGTTATTTTGTAGCAAACCTCCCAGAAGATGATTGGTTTGGCTAGCTTGCACCAAGGATTGTATATGTTAAATCTACCTCACTCACTCTTATCACAACCATAATCTTGTTTCTGCTCATATCACTACTACCATAATCTTGTTTCTGCTCATAATCTTGGTTTGACATCATAGATTAGGTTATGTCTCTGACTCTATTTTTCGTATTATTTCCTAACAATATCCTTTTATTCCTTACTTTGCAAAACTCTCTCTTTGTGACATTTGTCATTTCTCTAAAAAATGTAAATTGCCTCATCACAGTAGTGAAATACAATCACATAAAATTTTTTATATTATTCATGGAGACATATGGGGACCATATTTTGTACCTTCTAATTGCGGTTACAAATATTTTCTTACTTTAGTTGATGATTACTCATGTTTTACCTGGATTAAATTTATGACATCCAAATCTAAAACCCACACGCATTTAATACATTTTATTTCATTGATCGAAATTCAATTTCACACTAAACTCAAATTTTTCGAAGTGACAATAGAGTAGAATTTTTATTAGATGGTTTTTTTTTCATCCAAATGTATTCTTTATCAAAGAGCTTGTGTTGAAACGCCTCAACAAAACGATATTATTGAACGCAAACATCAACATCTTTTAAATGTAGTTCGAGCATTATTTTAACGAGCTTAATTATCTCACATCTTTTGGTCTTATGTTGTTCATATCATTAATAGGTTGTTTACTCCATTATTGCATTTTAAATGTCCTTATGCAGTGTTATATGATAAACCACCTAACATGATCCATTTAAATGTTTTTTGCTATCTTGCTTATATCATTATGCTTCAAAATCACAAAACTAAATTTCAGTCTCGTGCCATCGAAGTTGTTTTCTTAGGATATAGGGAAGGTACTAAAGACTATGTTCTGTATGATTTTCGTACCCATCAAAATTTTCTTTCAAGAAATATCATTCTTTATCAAATTGTGTTTCCTTTTCATTCCTCCATCACTCCTTTCTCAACTTCTTCTATTTTTCCTCTATTATATGATATATTCTCTCCTACAAATACCTTATCCTTGTCCGTGCCTATTCATCACCCTCCTACTACAGACATTCTATTTATATCCTCTCCTGTAAATACTTTATATCCTTACTCGAGTCTATTATTCATCACCCTCCTACTACAAAAATTCCATTTATATCCTTTCCTACAAATACCATATCCTTGTTCGAGCATATTCATCACCCTCATACCACAAACATTCCATCCATTATAAATTCTAAACAAAACCTTAGTTCTCCTACCCAGCTTTCTCTACATATTGGACACTCCACCTGATCTCGTAGATCACCCTCTTACCTAACAGGTTTTCATTGTCATTTCACGATTATTTCTAGCAGTTCCACACATCCTCTTAAGGATACTTATTTGCATCTCTTATCCTCAATTCTTGATTATTCCAAATGCAATTCCTCTTATAAAATTTTTTGTTTTGTTGTTACTAACATTTTTGAACCTATTACTTTCTCCCAAACATCTAAATTGTATTGTTGACAAAAAACTACGAATGTTGAGTTACAAGCTTTACAGCAAAATAACACTTGGTATATTATTGATCTTCCACAAGAAAAGAATCTCATTGGTTGTAAACGGGTTTACAAGGTTAAATATCATGCAAATGACACTATTGATAGATACAATGTCCACTTAGGGGCCAAGGGCTATATCCAGTTAGAGGAAGTGGATTATTTTAACATATTCTCCCTGGTTGTCAAGATTACCACTTTTCGTGTTCTTCTAGCCATATCAACAATTAAAGGGTGGTTTCTGCACCAACTTAATGTGAGTAATGTTTTTCTTCATAGAGAGCATCATGAGGAATTCTATATGGTCCTTCCACCTGGTTTACTTCCACCGGATTCTTCTCAGATTTGCAAACTTCACAAGTCGTTGTATGGACTTAAGCAAACCAGCAGGCAATGATAAAATATCTTTTTTACCACTGTTTTATCTCTCAACTACGAACAATCTTCCACTGATCAATATTTGTTTGTCAAGGTTATTTTTACTTCTTTCACAATTTTATATTAGTTTACGTGGATGACATTGTCTTAGGTGGTGATGACATGAATGAAATTAATTATGTCAAATTTGTCTTGGATACTAAATTCAAGATTAAAGATCTTGATGCTCTTTGTTATTTTTTGGGATTAGAAATTGCACGATCTAAGTCCAGCATTCACGATTCACTCTTGAACTTCTTGATGATAGTGATTTATTTGGTTCCAAACCTGCTACCACTCTTTCTAATCTATCTACTAAACTTCAGGCTAATAATGGACAATCGTATTTTGATAGTGTTGTCTATCGCAGATTAGTCAGTAAATTATTATATCTCACACTTACGCATCCTGATATTACTTTTTCTGTCCAATAGCTTAGTCAATTCATGACTCAACTCTTGATGTTTATTATAAAATTGTCATTCGATTTCTTAAATACTTAAAAGGTTCACCTGTCCAAGGGTTATTTTTTTCTATCTCTACTGACATTCGTCTTTCTGCTTTTGTTGATTCAGACTGAGCCTGTTGTTTGAACACTCGTCGCTCGATCACTAGATTTTGTGTTCTCCTTGGTTCTTCCTTGATTTCTTGAAAATCCAAGAAGCAATCTATTGTCTCTCGTTCATCCTTCGATGCAGAATCTCGAGTATTAGTCAGTCTCACTTGTGAGATTCAATGATTTCATTATCTTTTTTGTGATCTTCATGTTTCATTGGGTCCTACTGCAGTTTATTGTGACAATCCATAGTCCATAATCATGTATTTCATGAGCGCACTAAACACATCGAGATCGATTGTCATGTGATTCGTGAAAAAATTCCACAGGGTCTAATTCATCTTTTTCTTATTTCGTCGTCCATCCAGCTTGCAGATTCTTTTACTAAACCTCTTCATCATACAAGTTTTGACAACTCTATATCCAAGTTGGGTCTTTGTGACATTCACCGTCCATCTTGAGGGAGAGTATGAACATGATTGTTTTTCTAAAACAAATCTTGTTTTTTCCCATTTGTATTATTTTTAGTTATGACAAATTCTTTGTTTTCTGTTTTACGGAGTTATATGGAAAATGATACTTTGACAACCCAAATTCATACAACTCCTATAAACAACTATCTTTTAATATTATAATAATAATTTTACTTTATTTTTATTTTTATTAAATCATTATATAGATTATTATATTAATAAAAGTGAGTTGTTTGAAGGGTTGTATGGTTTCTAGTTGTCAAAATATCACCACTCGAGTTATATATATATATATATATATATATATATATATATATATATATATATGGAAAATGATACTTTGACAACCCAAATCCATACAACTCCTATAAACAACTCTCTTTTAATATTATAATAATAATTTTACTTTATTTTTATTTTTATTAAATCATTATATAGATTATTATATTAATAAAAGTGAGTTGTTTGAAGGGTTGTATGATTTCCAGTTGTCAAAATATCACCACTATATATATATATATTTGTATTTTTTTTAGTACAAGAAATTCTTAATTAAAAACAGAATTTTATATTACATATATGAACAGTAAGAAGTTACATTTTTAAAATTGAGATATATGTTTGATATTGTTATTATAAAAATATTATATTTAACTAAATAATTAGAGTATTTAAAAAAAATGAAACAAAATATATAAACAATAAGGGAAAAAAAGGTAATTAAGCCTTCAAAAAATTTTAGATTTAGTTTTTCAAAAAGCTAAAACTTAATATGTCATATTTTCATGGACTAGTAAAAATATTAAATCTAATAGTAACATAATAGTAAATTCACTGTAATAAATAAAATAAAACTATAAGTTATCATAACTAAAACCCATTTAATATACAACACATTCTTTGGTACTAGACAACAGAAACATCAAACATATACGTTTGTCTTTTGATTTTGAGTCACACAAGCACCATGGCCAGCTTGTTAAATGCACAATATCCGGTTTTTATATCCCACAAACTTGGAACTTCATACCCGCTTTGTACTCCTTAAACCATGCATTTGATTGCAACACTTTGGTATTTAAACACTTGACACTCACAAGCACGGGGGCACCTAAAAATGGCCACATCAAGATTCATCAAGTATTTGGTATTTTTGCTTTTTCTTAGTGTGGCATTTTCCTCTAAAGCCAGCAGGTTCCCTCCACCTTCAGGTACAGACCCTAATGCAGGTATGCATGGACGAGGCACTGGCAATCTAGGACATGGTGGAAAGGTTCCTCTACTTTGTAAACCCCTCCATTGTCACACCCCAAGTGGATTCTGTGGTGTAACATTCATCAACTTTGAACCTCAACCTTGTAGCCACGGACACCAAAACAAAGAATAACATCGTTGTGTTGTGGACAAAATTGTTCGAACATGTTAATGTTCTTAGCATGATATCCAAATCAAGTATATTCTGTACAAGCCGAAACCTTAACCATATGCAATAACAACGTATTTGTTTTTTAAACAATTGTATGGGTTGTCAGGTTTCTTGAAAATATTTCACACTCAGATTTATGGAAAGAAAAAGACCGAACAAAATTAAAGAAACTTATATTGCTTACAAAGTTACAACAACAATGGAAGAGTCTTTTAACACACACTAGTAACTTCAGTAGAAGATTTTGCAGTGTCTAAACTGTAAATTTTATTCATTGGGGATGAAATGGCTAATGCTCATTTTCCCCCTTCATTAGATATGCATCAGCAAACAGAACTTCTAGGACATTTTTAGTTATTATTACACCAAGTTTGAATTAGATTATAGTTTTTTGGTACAGTGATCAAATTATTCTCCCTTGACTTCAGCAACGGCAGCATCAGCCCAATTAGCTGCACTTCCAGTGCGAGGAATGCTGGGAATCTTTGTGTACAAATCCACCTGAAAATAAACACTCGAGATGTTTCCACTGTCATCTTCATGCGCAACACCTCGAACCTTGTGCAGTGGATGATCAAAGCTTGTCAACCCACTTCCATTGATGAAAATGCACCCTGCGCCATATTCAATAAGTAAATGAAAATGACAATGCAATCTGCCTAACTGGGAGCAGCAATGATGTTGGAAAGATTAAATCACTAAGGTTTCAGCTTTGATGTTGAGTGTATACTCAATCAAAACTCGGATATAAGAAAATAAAAAAATCCAATTCCTACTAACTTAGAAATTTAGTTAACCTTATTTAATATTCTTAATCACATTCAAGAAATGAACTTCATTCCCCAATAAGCTACCCTTCACGCCAATTGATGAAAGATTATACTTTTATGAAATTTGTTTCAAATGGAAATACTCTCTCCATTTTGAAAAAAATGTAGTTTAACATAGGAGGAGTATTTTAGAGATAGTTTCAGTAAATTGGTTAAAACTAGCTCAGATATTAGTCTCAAAAGAATACAGGTGTTTTTTTCATACTCGAAATGAGAAAGTTGAAAGCAGAGCTTTTAGAGAACAGAAAGTTAGAAAAGCTAAACTAACCCGGAGGAAAACTTGCACAAGCTTGTCCACATCCCTCTTTGATGATAGTTGGGTCATCGGAACAGACTAAGGATCCATCTCTTGCCATTCCCCATTGAAATTCCACACTTCCATCACGATCCTAACATATGCAGCAACCATGTGAGAGACAACACTTGTAAGCTATCCTCGTAGAAGAGGCTTAATTTCCTTGACATTTGTAGAGTAAGAACAAGCAAAATGTAAACTATTTGTGATCAGACCTCACCCTGGCTATAAAAAGAGTATGTGTCCTGGCATCAAAGATGATGAATGCAAATTTTCCATCGAGATGTTTAACAACTTGATCAGGTGGGTAGGGGGCTCGATCTCTTAGGACCTTATAGGCTTCAATCACAATCATGGCTTCTGTTGCTTGTCTTGGCAAGCCATAGTAATGCCTAAGATCAACAATGTTTGCTAGAGCTCCCACAAAAATGCAGAAGATATCATCTAAAACAACAACAGACCTGATGATTCATTCACAACAATGACAAATTAGTGTGTTTGATGAATATTTATAAAATTGATTTTGGTTTAAATTAATTTTAAAGGGAAATGATTCAAGACAGTATAAAATTTGTATCCAATGCAAATACCAATCAAACTCAAAGTTATTTTGACTGAATTGATTTTGGACTAAAACCAATTCTTCAAAGTGACACTAAAATCACTTTAACCTGAACCCAACACACATTTAACCAACTAAAAACAATATAAAACAAAACTAGATATCTGCTTCAATCCCAATTCAAGGGAGAGCAAAAAATTAAAATTTCAATTAATGTAGTTGCTTCCCTGACGTAAACACAGCAGCCAAGTTTTAATTGAATGCCACGCATGGTGAGAATTCAAAGGTACGAGCAACTTCAAACTTGTTGAGAGCCATTTCTTACCCAGTGATATGCATGAGAAATGAAAATAGATAAATAAATCAAATAAACTTTATATCTACCTGGGGTGTAGTGGACTTTCGTCCTCATGGGACAGAGCCATAAAATTCCCGTGTGGAAGGTTGTAAACTGCAGAATCCTGCCACAAAGATTGAAACTTCTTTACAATTTCTCGTGGGGTCTTTGAATTGTTGGACCCCATTGCTGGAAGCCTCAGTTCCTCCGGTGGTTTTCCAATGGCTTTTGCAAACACCGCCAACATTTTGCTTGGTTAGCTCAATGGTTCTCCAGCTTGTCCTCTCCTTTAAAAGCTAGCTTAATAGGACTCAGGTTCAACTATTTTTTGACGGAATGGAACCATTAAAAAATTCACAAACCTACAAACAGTGGTATTGGAGATTATGCATGTGGCAACCTCACAGGATGGTGTCAGATTCCGTGGTGATACGTGTAATACCATGCAGAGGTAGTACTGTCTATTTCTTTTGCAGTCTTTGTAAACTCTCCAATTATTACTGTCCAAGCAAACAGTGTTCTTTTACTTGCACTGCTAAATATTTACTAAGATCAGAGTATAAAAATTAGTATTGTTTATCATTTCTAGTTTTTTTCAATCATAATATTTTGTCCAATAATCACTAGAAATCTCCATTGTGCTTATCCGTAAGCATGGACCCATACAATAACGTGTATCCATAAGCAACTTTGGACTTTTCCAAAATCAATATTTTTGTCTGATATCTACCACACTTGTTCAACCACGCTTATCCATTAGCAACTTTTACAAAAAGACTATTTACGTGACTGAAATAGTGTTCTACGTGTTTCTTCTTCCCATCTATGAAGTTGTATCCCATGATAAGATGTTGAGTAAAGTAATAAATAAAATAAAACCGTAGAAGCTAGTCTTTGATGGCTTTTGAAAGCAATCTAATTCTGATAAGTCACTGCTTTAGTTTACACTCAATTGCTAAAAAATGTGTGTTGGATAAAATCGAAAATATATCCAACTTTATTCGTCTAACTTTTATCTAATTAAATATTAAACATTTATTTCGTTATTATACTACTTTACCAAATCATAATCCTATAATAAGATTTAAGTAATTTCTTTTTACCAGTTAATTCTATAAACTATTTTAAAATTTTAGAAAATCTGTTTTTTTTTTATTTTAATTAGAAAAATCTAACAATTGACCATACTACAACAAACAAATTCAATTCCCGAAGTTTATTGGTGCTGATAGTTAAAGATTGAATTGTTAAGGTATATCAAGATTATATAATAGATTCTTCTTGTCGGATAATTTTTGAAAGATACAGAAACAAAAGTTCCAAAACACGTTCCTGCACATGTGTTGGCTCAATAATCCAACCCTAAATGATATTTCCATCAGATAAAGAAGTCTGCATCCTTTCCGATGCTGAAAATTTATAATAGAAGCAAGATAAACTCATGTACTTGGAGAAGAAAAATCTACTACAGAAAAGGTTTCATGATTTTTCTTAGCTAGAAAACATGCATATTCATTTCATGTAATGATATGTGATGACAGAAACTTTAGCATTTGTAAAGCACGACATTAATGTCATTGTCCAAACATACAAATTGCAATAATACATGGTATGCTAGGTCATTGAGAAGGAGAAAGCTAGGTCAATGGCCAATGCTAGCAGCTACTTCCATCTCTTATTTATTCCCCAAAGAAACTACCATCCGAAAGAAACCTTCCTACAATATGAACAAGGATCATGATAAGCATCAAGAACTCTTAGAACCAAATGAAATTGAGATGGGTTTGGAAAGTTATGAGGATCACCAACATTTAACTAATTCATTTGGCTAGAATTGGAACACCACAGGCTGCTGGAGCATGCTTTCCTTGCTTAAACACAAGGTTTCCTCTCACAAAAGTCTCCAAAACTTTCCCGGATAACCTTCTTCCCATATAAGCAGAGAGTTCCTGAATATTAGCCACGTATTTTTTCTTCACAACTTGAAAAATCATATAATACTAACAGCGTAACAGCATGTATTGATAAAGTGGTAAACACTATCTCTTTATGAAAGGATGAAAAATCCTATTTTTATTTTTGTTGGTGGTTTCTCCAAAAAGAAAAGTAATTAGCAACATATACATAAAGAAATAGTGGGAAGAACAATTTGGTTCCTCTAGCATCTACTTTTCCCAAAAGCAATTTGTGAAGCAAGAAAATTTTAGCAAGAAGCCATCACATAAAAATTTGAAGTTTAACTTATAATTAAGAACAAAGAAAGTCATGGACAGAATGAGTTTAATAACAGGATGAAGAAAAATCAAGACGTACAGGATGTTTAAGGAAAACAGGATAATCTTCATTCAGCTCAAACTCCACTTCTGGTTTCCAAACTACAATATCAGCATGGTTTCCAACAGCAATGGACCCCTAAAACATAAATGAAACAGATTTGAACTGAAATTATTTCTCAACATATACGTTGACTTGGTAATCTCATGAGTAAATGTTTAAGTGCTTTATCATGTGGCTTTTCAGAAAGAAAATTACACAACCAAATCATAGAGATAAGAGTTTTTTGTTTTAATTTGAAGCGAATTCATCCAGCAAATGATACTGTATTTGTAACACATCAAATAATCATCTGAGGTTGCTACATAGACAATCTTGTAGCAACAATGAGGTAAAAAGCTCAAGAGTCATTTATTTGGTTCAAGCAGATTGTAATGATTTTTTTAGAGTAAGTACAAAATCAAGGAAACAAAACTGTATGTATTAATTATATTATACTAAGTCAGAGGTAATAAAGGAAACTACAATTATGTCACCTTTGATTTTATCCCTGCAAACTTTGCAGGTTTCTTGCTCCACAATAGCGACAACTGTTCCAGAGTTAGTCCATGTTTCTTCCCATATGACCACGTCACTGGAAGATCAAACTACAAGTCACCCAATTGAACCTCGGTTAGTCTTTTAGAACACAATTATAGCATTGAAAATTGCAATGTAAAAGAATCAAATTCAACTGAAAGTCTGAAGAATGGACACTAACACATGGTTTTCTGATTAAAATACTGCTTAAATCCATCATCATGGTCTTTTTATATATAATTTGGAGGGTGCATGTAAACAACTTAAGCTCTTATGCAATAAGTTTTTATCACCTGAAGGTTTACGTCAAAAAGTTTTATCACTAAACTTACAGGAACACATTAAAAAGAGCTTATTTTTTATTAGTTACATCACGCCTTGAAACTTACTAAGTCAATAAGCTCTTATTACAATAGGTTAAAAGCAACTCATGAAAACCATGAGCTATTTTCATAAGCTCAAATAGAACTCCCTTAAGTTCTTCTAAAACACCCATTACTAAGATGAATTACATTATAAGATAGATTATAGATCTAATACCATATTAAAATTATATATATATATAAATTAAGTTTAATATAATTTTTAGTAAATAGTGAAAAATAATTATATTGAAATTTAAATTGTTTATTGTGAAAGCAATATAATTTATATATCTTAAATAGTATTTATCCTGAGCAATACATATATTAAAATACCTGTAATAAGTAACACAAAATATGTTATGTGATGTTCATCAATTTACATGTTATTTATAAGCAGCAATAGTAAGGCAGAACATTCACAGTAATCAAAGATCATTTATCCCGAACAATGGATATACTCACCAAATATTTGTATTTACTATAGCTTTATAACCATGAATAAGCAGTGATTAAACTATCCTTGTAGATCAGTCATAAGAAAAATGGTCTAACTTCACTGTAAGAAAATTTACTAACCTGCAAAGATGATATGCCCCCCCAAGCCTTCAAGAAGTTACCCTCCTCAAGAAGCTTGAGTTGAGGCACGGTTGGTGAATGATCAGAACTTAACAGGTCAATGTGTCCCTCCTGAAAGAACAAAACAAGTAAAAAACTGATGAGATCATAAATGATTGAAGTAAGATAATGCTTTGTATTTGAGGAGAGGAAGTGTACCAATACAGCCTTCCATAATTTGTCTTTGTTGTATGCATCACGAATAGGCGGGGAACACTTAAAACGAGTATCTCCATTTGGTATCTCTTCAGAAGAGAAAGCTAAGTAATGGGGACAAGTCTCAACGCTTATGCTGTCACCGCCACTTTTTGCTTCCTGTACAATACAAATGTATAATATTAGCTTTCATATTTAGTTAGTTCAATATTTAATTTTAACCAGGCAACTTAATGCACACATTACCTTAATAAGGTCTAAGGAAACACTTGAATCAGACAAGTGAGCAATGTGAACATGTGATCCTTCTAAAGGACCACCACTTCTAGTGTCTTTAGTAACACCTACAAGTTCTCTAATGGCTGCTTCCTCCCTGGAAAAGTAAAGATGATATTTCATTATTTTTTTTATTAAAATTTCCAGAGCATTATTTCAATTAAAGATACATGATATTGTTTTCATCCAAGATTCCAAATGGATTGCATTGGACAGATATTTCATATTGTTAGATTCTCTTAAAACATTTAAAAACATCTTGAGAATCATGTTTATTTCACTCTCAGCCACATTTTTCACCTTTTGGGGCCAAGATTTCTACTCAATTAGAAGCCCCCGCACTTTTTGTTAGGTAAACATTAAATGCATGTAGTTGAGAGCTAGTGGTTGTAGAAATAGTAGTTGAGAGGTAGTAGTTGTATTGAATGTATGTAGTTGAGAGATAGTGGTTGTATTGAATGTATGTAGTTGAAAGGTAATAGTTGTATTAAATACATGTAGTTGAGAGGCCATATCCAAAGGCCTATAAATTGACCATGTATCACTCATTACAAACACATCAAGTGATAATATACAGAGTGTTTTATTTAGATACTTGTTTGTCAACAAATTGGCATCAGAGCTTGAGAGCCTGAGTGTCTGAGTGCGTTAGAGAGAGTTAGAGAATTTGTTCGAGATGACCAACTTAGCTAACAGCATACCCCTGCCAAAGTTATCGAAAGGCGTAAGCTATGATAACTGGAGCCTGCAAATGAAGGCTCTCCTTGGTTCCCAGGAAGTATGGGATGTGGTCGAAAATGGGCACCAAGAACCAGAGAATATTGAAGAGCAGACGATTGCCCAGCTTGCTGCATTGAGAGCAACACGAGTAAAGGACAAAACGGCTTTGTACGTACTGTACCGAGCTATTGATGAGTCCAACTTTGAGAAGATAGCAAATGCTAAATCTTCAAAAGAAGCGTGGGATATTTTGGAGAAGGCATATAAAGGGGATAATCGTGTGAAGCAAGTCAGGCTTCAAACTCTTAGAGGCGAGCTTGAAATCATGAGGATGAAAGAGGTCGAAGGGGTTGCCGAGTACATCTCCCGTGTTGAGACCGTGGTGAATCAACTCGGAAGAAATGGAGAGACGCTGCCCACTTGCCGAGTGGTGGAGAAAATCTTAAGGTCGTTAACTGACGACTTTGAGAATATCGTTTGTGCAATAGAAGAGTCCAAGAACTTGTCGGTGCTCTCGGTGGAAGAGCTTGTTGGGTCGCTTGAAGCGCATGAGCAGCGGAGAAGAAAGAAGAAAGAGAAGTCCCTTGATCAAGCACTCCAAGTAAAGGCAACCTTAAAGGAGAAGAAGGTTTTTTATGCTCAGAACACTCAAGGCCGAGGTGGTAGAAGCAAAGGAGGATATGAAAGAGGTAAGGAGCAAGTCAGTCAACAAAACTGGTGTGGCCGAGGACAAGGTAGAGGTCGTGGCGGTAGAGGCCGAGGTGGTCAGTCAAGCAATTTCGGAGTTGAGTGCTTCAAATGTGGGAAGTACGGTCATTCTGTTAAGGACTGTTATTCAAGTATCAAATGTTATAATTGTGGGAAGGTTGGGCATTTCGCGAAGGACTGCCGATTTGAGAGCAAGAAGGAAACAAATCTTCTCTCTGAGGACGCTGAGGAAGAAGGAGTATTGATGATGTCGAGAAGTTCGGATGTCGAGCTAAGTCTGAGTTGTTCTGACAACTCGATTGGTATCTTGATACAGGAGCAAGTAACCACATGTGCGGGGACGAGAACCTTTTTAAGGAGCTCATTAAAGTTGAGGCCGGACACGAGTCGTTTGGAGATGCATCAAAGGTGGCAGTAAAAGGCCGAGGTACAATCTGGTACCTGCAGAAGAATAGCCGAGTTGGAGAAATCAGAGACGTGTACTATGTACCCGATCTCAAAAACAACATATTGAGCATGGGCCAACTAATGGAGAAAGGCTACTCGGTTCTGATGAAAGACCGAGTACTATACCTGAAGGACAAGTCGGATCGTTTGATTGCTCGAGTTGAAATGAAGAAGAACAGAATGTACAAGCTGGACTTGAAGATAGTCCAAGAGAGGTGCTTGAAACTTGACGTGAAGGATGAAGCAATAATGTGGCACTTTCGGTTTGGCCACTTGCATTTTGGTGGGCTGACCGAGTTGGTAAAGAAAGAGATGGTGCGAGGACTCCCGTCTATGGAATTTGAAAAGAAATTTTGTGAAGAGTGTGTGCTCGGGAAGCATCCAAGGACTTCATTTCCGAGGACGGCCAAGTACCGTGCAAAGGAACAACTCGGATTGATTCACACAGATCTTTGTGGACCGGTGACCCCTGAGTCCTTCAGTGGGAAAAGGTATTTCATTTCTTTTATAGATGATTTTTCAAGAAAAACCTGGGTATATTTTTTGAAGGAGAAATCCGAGGTTTTTGAGGTGTTCAAGAGATTTAAAGCAATGGTTGAGAAAGAGACTGGCATGCCTATCAAATCTGTTAGGTCTGATCGAGGAGGCGAGTTCATTTCATCCGAACTCATGAAGTATTGCGAGGAGCAAGGGATAAGGAGATTTCTGACAGCACCATACTCACCCCAACAAAACGGAGTTGCCGAGAGGAAGAATCGAACCATTCTTGACATGGTTCGAACAATGTTGAGAAGCAAAAATGTGCCAAAGGAGTTCTGGGCAGAAGCAGTGCAATGTGCCATCTATGTGCAAAATAGATGTCCACATGCTAAGCTGAACGAGAAGACACCGCAAGAAGTTTGGAGTGGAAGAAAACCGAGTGTGTCTCACCTTAAAGTGTTCGGTAGCATAACTTATGGTCATGTTCCAGCTCAACAGAGGACCAAGCTCGAAGATAGAAGCAAAAAGTACGTGTTTATTGGGTATGATGAAAAAACCAAGGCGTACAGGTTGTTTAACCCAATAACTAAGAAGGTCATTATGAGCCGAGATGTTCAAATTGATGAAGAAAGCGAGTGGAGTTGGAACAATCCGGAGAAGGAGTCCATAGGAAGTAGAAGCTCGGAAGTTGATACACCACATACTGTGAGAAATCATGAGACTTCTGATGAAGAAGACGAACCTCTACAGCCCAGAGCGCGAAGGTTTACAAGATATATACAACTCCACTGACGAAGTGCATGTTGTATGTCTCTTGGCAGATTCAGAAGACTTAAGTTTTGAAGAGGCCGTGCAGGAGAAAAGGTGGAAAAATGCAATGGACGAGGAGATTGGGGCAATAGAACGCAACAACACATGAGAGCTGACTGATTTGCCCAAAGGAGCGTGGCCTATCGGCGTAAAGTGGGTGTACAAGAAGAAGACAAATGTTGAAGGAGAAGTTGAGCGATATAAAGTTCGACTCGTAGTGAAGGGGTACAAGCAGAAGGAAGGAATAGACTATGACGAAGTATTCGCCCCAGTGACGAGAATGGAAACAATTAGGCTGCTGATTTCCTTAGCAGCTCAACACAGATGCACAAGCTGCAGACATGTTCACGAAACCACTGTCAACCACTCTGTTCGAGAACAATAAGAAGATGCTTGGAATGAAGGACAAGAAAAATATTTAAGTTTATGGGGGTATTTTGTTAGGTAAACATTAAATGCATGTAGTTGAGAGCTAGTGGTTGTAGAAATAGTAGTTGAGAAGTAGTAGTTGTATTGAATGTATGTAGTTGAGAGATAGTGGTTGTATTGAATGTATGTAGTTGAAAGGTAGTAGTTGTATTAAATGCATGTAGTTGAGAGACCATATCCAAAGGCCTATAAATTGACCATGTATCACTCATTACAAACACATCAAGTGATAATATACAGAGTGTTTTATTTAGATACTTGTTTGTCAACACTTTTGAGCGAAGCATTTGCGAATTCAGATGTGAAAACTTCGGATAAGTTTAAGCAAAATAGTCTAACTAATATCACTTGTATCTGGAATAATTTAATGGCTTTTTTGTTTATTCAGAAAATGAAGTCTTAAAATATCTTACCATGTAGGTGGTCTAGTGTGGAGATAGGTCAAGTAAGCACGTGGACCACCTTTATCATTGAGCTCCAAATGCTTTTTAGAATGTTGTTGAATCTCAGAGTGCACAATTAAAGGCCGTCTATATTTTGCCAACACAGACAATCCGTCCTGAATGATAAGTAATACGAGCAGATAACAATAGATCAAGCAAAGCAACAATCCCATGCCATGTCAATATGCAAGAGGAATTAGGTATCCAAAAAAACATAGTGTAATGAACTGATTAAAACAAATTTCCAGCTATAGCTGTGCATAGTTAACAAGGAATGTACCTTGATATGGTGAATAGTAGTCATAGGAAAGTCGCTAATTCCAGAAGGACACATAAAAGACTGTAGACACAAAAGGGAAAAAAAAAACAGTTCAAATGGTAACAGATATTGTCATACATATATGATGGTTTGCACTGTGGAGAGACAACTCATGACATGACATATTTTGAAGAAATCATGTTTAATTCCAAGAAGATGACATGATAAATTAACACAGAAATACAGGAATCCTGTGAAAGATGGTTCCAAAACCACTTCAAGTATATTTCTAATGAGAGCCAGTTCCTGGAATTGTCCAGCATCCATATATTCTCAGCACTAAGGTAATAATTAATTTCTTTAAAAAATTTGAATCATGAAGTTGATTCCACTGAGTATGTCCTTGACCTCTAAGCAACTTTGCATAGTAATTAACAAGCTTTCAAATGGTTACCTTCAAACCAAGGACACCAGCATTTAAGAGACCTTCAAGAATACTAGTGTTAAGTGCATTTTCAGGGATTAGGCCTCCCCAAAATCCTGCATAAGAGTATAAGAAAATCTCAGAAACTCAATTTATTTGTATGCTAAGGCAGAGTTTGCTGGTCATACCAACATCAACATAGATTCTATTCTCTGCAGCTTCAAGCTGGAAACAGTTGGAAACTTATGTTAGTAGAACAAGAAATTATTCTATTCAACTATTACGCATAATTAACCAAGCAAATTCAACAGCTCCAAAAACAGATTATCCATACAAGATAAATATTTAATTGTCCGGAAATTTTTAAATGATATATATCAGTTGGAACTCCTACTTCTATCTCTTCGAAATGAAAAGATTACGCATAGTTATTTACTTATTATATAGATAAACTCATTATTTCTATAAAAATGTAAATGCACATACAGGATAAATCACTGATACCTTAAGTTTCAGTGTTTCCTTAGACACAGTTGTAGGGTGATTGTTTAGAGGCATGTCAACCACTGTGGTTACACCACCTGTTGAAAGTTGAACAGTGTTGGAACAGATCTATGTCATGTATATAAACCAAACTAAATAAGTTGTGGAAATCAACAACCGTTGACATAAACAGTTCAACTATCACTAGGAAGAGATTGAAAGATTATTTAAGTTATTCACCAAGTAACATCAGCTGAGGACTGATAAGTCATAACAAGTTATTGTTTTCTTTGTTCTAAGATTTGAATCTATATTTACTTAAGAAGCATAGGGAAAAAAATATTAAGATTTCCCCTGAAATCCCATCAATTTTTTAGGTATATTACTAATGAAGGAAATTTGTACGTCAATAGAGGAAGAACATCTGCATACCAGCAGCAGCAGCTCTGGTACCAGTATCAAATCCTTCCCATGCAGTTCTTCCAGGATCATCAAGATGTACATGTCTGCCAAAGTAATATAAATAATTAGAGGGAGGACAACAGACAGAAATCATGTTCAAGATAAAAAATAAACGTATGGAGTTCCACTATTATGAAGGAATTGATAATCAACTCTTCTAGCCTAGAATTTCTACTCATTATACAATCGATTTTCTTCCTCTCTTTTTTATTTTTATTTTCGTTTTAGCTTTTTTATTTTCCTTAGTTTCCTTCAGCTGGTTAAATATAGGATACTCGTGAACTGAAAGTTATACCATTGATTACTAATGGTAATAATAATTAAGATAGAAAGAGGTTATTATGGTAGGAAGTAAATCCTCTTTTTTATTTCCTATATTAAAGTAATCATTGCGAGACTGCAACTTTCATAAGACTCATGCAACAATCTAATAGTCCCAAAGGAATCATACGTACAATGACTGCTACCAAGTTTAGTGAGACAGAACTCAATGAAAAAAAGGACCACTTTTAATATTCTATATTACAATAAGGGAGGAAGCAATATGGAGCAAACAATGCCAATGTGTTATGTGAAAAGCCAAGTCTTCAAATAGGCCATTTAGACCCAAGTCCTTTTAATATCTCTAACTTGGAGTTTTTCTTGGTTTCCCACTCTCCCTCTACCTATAATTATTAAGCTATCTTCGGTTGGTTTAACTCTTTACATGATCAAACAATCTTAGGTACAATTTTACTATATTTTCTTCATTAAGTGTTGTTCGTTCTTTTTCTAGTTATAGATTCTTGCATTACAAAAAATATTATTGCACTTGTGTAGAGCATGCATCCAAAGAACAGCAGCAGATATAAACAATAAGAAGATGATAATCTTACACATCAATCAAGCCAGGCATGACAACAGCATCTCCATAATCAATTACCTCTTCATGCTTAGACTTTCCCTGCTTACTATATCCCTCAATGACTGATATTATTTTCCCTTCTTTTATCTCCACTATAAATGGTTCACAAATAAAAGAATCAATTAACACGAGTAAATAGTGATATCCTGGAGGTGAAAGATTTACAAGTATATTGAAATCTGAAACAACAAATGGTCAAGAGAAAATATGGTCCTCAGTTCACTATTAATGAATTGATGGTAGTGCCACTCAAGTGAAGCCTAATTTCTAAAGATCTTCACCTGAACTCAAGTGTATCCTTTTTGTTTATTATCTATCCTTGATCGAAAGCATGATCTCCTTTTTATCTGTTATCTATCCTTTATTTTAGCATGATCTTTAGAGAATAGAAATATTTATGTTGGATTTTTTCCCACAACTTCAATTTTCTTTTTATTTTATTATATACATATGCACTCTAAGAATTGACACAGACAAGGGGGACTTTCCCAACGTATAAACCTTACTTTACAACCTCATGGGACAAATGAAAAGAGTGAAATAAAAATCCAATGATCAAGCGTTGAAAAAGTAAAACCTGAACCAGAAATGATCCCTTGTGGGGTCAAGATGCGCTTGCTAGTGAGCCAGAAATGATGATGGTGAAGAAGGCTGCACTTATTCTGTGGCAACTGTGGCACAAAAAGTCAACAAATTCAACCCTCATTACATAAAACCCCACGCCCTCTTCAGTGCTCATACCATAGCAGTTGAGGGTATCATAACAAAAGTTCCGAACTAGTCTAGTAACTATAGTGGCAAAACACGAGAAAGTAAAGTGTAGTGCACAACTTTAAAGTAAAAGTTGAACTACAAAAATTTCAAACTGATTGCTGGTTATGCAGACAAAATGATGAATCATGAAGCATGAGAAACAATGAAAGTGAATAGGTTAGATGTTGGACCTTCACGAGAGGATGTAACTGTGCCCAGTAAGAATCCTGCAAGTAAAAGAATACTAGGAAGGAAACGAGGATTGTTAGCAAAGGCAGCACCCTCCACACAAACTGCTCCATTTCTCACCAATTCACAATGTCATTCTGCTCTATCTCATTTTATAGTTTCATTATGGTAAGACTATTGCAGCAGACAGAAACATAGTACCTATGTCACACCACCTTAAGACCATACCCGTGTCTCACAAATGTTGACGTGTTGAGGCCACAGATTTCACATTTGAATCCTGCTCATTAGTTTCTCATAAAACTATGTACTGCCATGTTCTGATAGAACATTATTTTATTTTATTTTTAAATATTTTCTTATATCTTCAGTTTTTTTTTTAAATAATAATAATAATAATAAGGCTGCCAATTATCAAATCAATGTTGAATAAAACTTAAATTCTTTCAAGATTAATATTTTTTTTCACAATTGAAATTTAAATAAAAATCTAAAGTGATTTTATATTTTAAAAATTATTTGAAATAGCTTTGAATAAAAAATAATAATTTGGTAAATAAAAAAATAAAATTAGAATAATTAATTCTTAATTAAATCAAGAATGTGACTACACAAGACCGTCATATCCATTTCCAAGTCTATTATTTTTACATATTTTAAATATAACTTAAACTATTAGATAATAAATTTTATTATTTTATTTATATTTAAATGTTTAGTTATGTGTAATTTAAGAATATGTATACACATGAATATTATTGTATATATATACTATTCGAAAAGTTTTGCAACTCATTTAAAAAGTTACAAGAAAGATTAGTTTAAATTTATTTTGAATTAAAATTAAAATATAATATTAAAATTAATGTAGAAATTAAAATTTAGGCCTAACTAAAGAAAAAAGGGTGGTGGAGAATAATGAAAGAGAAAATAAATGGACATGAAAACCCCATTCCTAATCAGTGAATTCCACGTTAAAAAGGGTAGTGTCAGCAACAGTAGGATGTGATGGTGTTTCATTTTCAAAAGTTAAAGAAAAAGGATGAATTATTCTAACTTTTTACTATTATTTTCAAAGTGTATAAGATTGAGTTTTTTTTTTTTTAATTATGAATTTTTTAAAAGAATTATTGATCTTTAACTTTTGGAGATGCCTTTGACAACCAATTGATGGCTAGTGTTTTTCTTTGTGTGTAGCATGTTTCAATTTAATAAGAACTTTTACCAAAAAATATTTCAATATAAGAACTTGATGAGTCAATCATTCTATGTGTCTTGCTTTTATGGTTTAATCCAGAGTTAATTCACCTATTGTTTCACGTAAGATACTATAATTTTTTGTCTTTTGTTCAATCTTCCACATAATTGCATAAATAATTTGACTAGGCAATAATGTTTTCTGTGATTTTATGTACCCCAGTTAACCATCATGTAAATTAATTTAGTATCCATTGCATAATTTAGATTTTTTTTCATTATTTTTTAATTTATCCCACTAGTGTTAATTTGTTTTTTTAAGTATTGTAATGTTTTTTTTTCATTATTAAGTTGTGCAATAAAAAATATAATTTGAAATTTGTAAATAATTTTATTTATGTGACGTTAATTATATATAATATATGACACGTATATGTATATATCAACAACATATTACTCAGAATTATTCGTTAAGTTGGGTTAGAGGTAGATATAATAAATTCAACGTCAATAAAATAATATCGTTACACTATTTAGTAAACAATTTAACGTTATTAATGAGAGAAATAAGATTGAGTCACTTTTAAAAAATAATAATACTAAAAATAATAGGGAAATAAAATTAAAAAAATAATCAAGCAGAGAAATTATTTGGTTTTTAAAAATATATTATGATTAAATGGTCATATAAGATGATCTTTGTATGTCTTATTTTACTTCTAATTAAAATTTAAAATCCAACAATTATTCACTTGCTTTATTACTTCTATGTTTAGAAGTATTTCAAATTATTCAATGGTATCGTTTTGATTTTAAGATTAAAAATTTATTGATAATTTCTGCTTTGAATATTATAATATATTACATATTTAAATTTTTTTATAAAAAAACGTATTTGATAGGTGATTGGTTGAATTTGAAATATATTTTTAAAAAACATATCTGAAATTGAACTCTAAATAAGTTAATTCCGAATTTATTTTTGGATTCTATTTTTTAAAAATGTATTTTAGATTTTAAAATTCATCTTTAGATTATATTTTTTTAAACATATATTTTAGATAAATGTTGATATTTTGATATTGTAAAAAGACAAAAACATTTTTTTAATAATTTATTTTTAGATTTTTATATTATTATTTATTTATCTTATTTTATTTTCTCTTTATCAATCAATAAAAAAATATTTTAAAATTGTCTATCAAATATTTGTAAACATTAGTAAACATTCGTGATAAAAAATCTTTTCCTAGTCCAGATTCAACTATTTGAAATTTATTTCCAGATTTTATTTTCAAAAATCTGATTATATTTCTAAAAAATATAATTCAAAACTTATTTTTAGATTGGATCTTTCGTAATTAATTCTTTGTTTGGATAGAGTTTTTCAAAACTTTTCAAAAAACATTAGGAAATCGGTCTTCCTATTGTCTTAGAACTTGAATTTTTCAAATTGAACATATCTTGCAGTAGGAAAGATTGATTTACAATTGTAAGAGAGAACTATTTCAGAAACAAAGGGCATATTTTCACACTTCCAATCTAAACAATGTTCCTCAGTCTCGACACAGATTGTCTGATGTTGTTTGTTATGTTTGTTTTGCTCTGGTGGAGTTTTTTATTTTTGTTATTCTCTCTCCCATATACTAAAAGAAAAAAAACCTTGTTCCAAGATTAGAAATGGAAGACAAGTTTCAGTTTCTTCTATTTTCTGTTTATATTCCCTTGCAATATGACAAGGATTATTAACATGATGCTTCTTAGCTAGGAAAGATGCATATTTTTTTCATGATGAAATGATATGTGCAGAGAGGAACTCTAGAATTTGCAAATTTGTAATCTACATTCAAGAAAAGTAGAATATTATGGCATTATCCAAAACACCCAAACGGATATAATACATGCAAAAGCACTAGTCTATGAGAAGGAGAATGCTACTCAATGCCGAAGCCAGCAGCCCCCTCCATCTCTTATTTATGCCCCCAACGAAGCTAGCATCTGAAAGACACTTGTCTACAACATGAGCAAGGATCATGATAAGCATCAAGAACTCTTAAGAGAACCAAATGAAATTGAGATGGATTTGGAAAGTTATGGTTATCACCAAGATATAAGTAACTCATGTGGCTAGAATTTTAACACCACAGGCAGAAGGAGCATGCTTCCCATCCTTAAACACGAGGTTTCCTCTCACAAAAGTGTCCAAAACTTTTCCGGATAACCTACTTCCCATGTAAGCAGAGAGTTCCTGAATACCAAAAGGTCATGGTTTCACATATGGGACGCACAAAAACAGATAAATATATTTTCTCCATAACATGAAAAATCATGCTATACTAACAGAAAGTCATAGACAAAATGAGTTTAATAACAGGGTAAAGAAAAATTAAGACATACGTAATGTTTAATGAAAACAGGATAATTGTCATCCAGGTCGAACTCCTGCTCTGGTTGCCAAACTACAATATCTGCATGGTTTCCAACCGCAATGGTCCCCTGAAGCAAAAATGGAACTTTAGTCAGATTTTAACAGAAACTTTTATCTAAGAAGCATTCTAAAAAAAAATATAAAAATAATCACGCAACTACATCATAGAGAAGAAGGGAATAAAGCTGTATTATTGATATACTATACTAAGTCAGAGGCAAAGAAGGAAACACCTTTGATTCTATCCCCGCAAGTGCTGCAGGTCTCTTGCTCCACAATAACGACAACTGTTCAATAGTAAGTCCATATTTCTTCCCGTATGACCACGTCACTGGAAGATTAAACTGCAAATCTCCCAATAGAACATCAGTTAGTCTTTAGGCTAATTACAGCATCTAAATACAGAAAAATGAGGAAACTAGCACTCGGCTTTCTGATATAATACTGCATAAATCATCCATCATGGTCTTTCAGGATGACTGCATGATTAAATGATGATAGAGCCCAAGGATTTAAATACCAAAGTTCAATATCAGGAAATAGTTATCAAAAAAGGTGTGTAAGGATGGCTACTCTTACACCCTATCAATGTTTAGCTGTTCAGTTTCATGCTAAACCTATAGAGCTGTTACAGACTGCGCAGTGATAAAGATGGCCAGTTGTTACGGCACATCATGCATAGGACTGGCCCTTGGTAAAACACCCATCCCTCCCTTCCCACCAAAACACAAAATTATGCCGTTATAATATAGAAAATATTCAATCATATTATTCAACTGACTAATAAGTAAATAAAAACCATGCTCAAACATGAACATAAGATTCAATCTGATACTGTGACTAAGCATTCATTCAAATATCAACTTGTAGATTGATAACTGATTTCAAATAGGTTCATATTATATTACTGCAGTAAGAAAAATGGTCTAACTTCACTGTAAGAAAATTCACTAACCTGCAAAGATGATATGCCCCCCCAAGCCTTCAAGAAGTCACCCTCCTCAAGAAGCTTGAGTTCAGGCACAGTTGGTGAATGGTCAGTAGTTAACAGGTCAATGTGTCCATCCTGAAATGAAGAGTAAAGCAAACAAAAAAAAACTGATGAGATAAAAAATTATTGAAGCACGACAATACTTCATATTTGTGGAGAGGAAGCGTACCAATACAGCCTCCCATAATTTGTCTTTGTTGTGTGCATCACGAATGGGTGGGGAACACTTAAAACGAGTATCTCCATTTGGTATCTCTTCAGATGAAAAAGCCAAGTAATGGGGACAAGTCTCAACACTTATGCTATCACCACGACTTTTGGCTTCCTGTGCATTATAAATGTATAACAGTAGCACCCCTGTCAATTGGTATATTCCACACTTAATTTTAACTAGGCTGTTCTATGAACAGTACCTTAATCAGATCTAAGGAAGTACTTGAATCAGACAAGTGGACAATGTGAATATGTGCTCCTTCTAAAGGACCACCGATTCCAGT